TGCCTCGCCGTCGGCGCTGTGGCTCGTCGATCGGGGGCTGGTCGCCGCCGCTGGCCGCTACGTGTGAGTGTGTGTGTGTTTCAGTCTAGGTCCGCCGGAGGGAACGCGCCCCAAGGGTGAAACCCGCGGGGAAGGTCCCCCCGGGCCCCGGCGGCCGACCGCGGGGCCCCGGAGGGGGGGGGGTCCGGGCGGGGCGGCCCGCCCTTCCCATTCGGGCGGGGGGGTAAACGGAGGGCACCACTGCTGCTCCGCATCGGGGGCCCGGGGGGGGGTGCGCGGCGTGCGCGGGGGTGGCCGGCCCGGCGCCGGCTCGCCCGCCGGCGACGGAGTGGGTTTTTGGCCGGCCGGGCCAGCCCCGCGACCGTGCGGCCGTGGCCCAGGCCGGGGCCGGCGGGGAGCGGTGGCTCCCGGGCGGGCTGCGGGGCCTGCAGTGCCGTGGTCAGTAAGTAATTGAGCGTCACGTTCGGCCTGTCCCGGCCTCGGCCCGCGCGGCAGCCACAGTGGGGAAGACCGGTGGAGGCGGCCAAAATCCCGGACGCGTTTTGAGCTCCGAGTCGCTGAACAGGACTCGAACCGAACGTGTGACCCCACCAATGGATTGCTCTCCGAACGAGGAATCCTTTGGTGGGGTCGCACTTTCGGTACGAGTCCTATGTAGCCACTCTAGAGTCTGCTTCGAGCCCTATTTAGCGACCCTGGAGCTCAAAACGCGTGAAGCATTTTGGCCGCCTCCGCCGGCCGTCTGGCCCACTGTGGGCGCGGCGCTCGGCACGGCGGCGGTGATCCTTGGCGGCCGAGGCCAAGCACGGTCTTCGCTTTGACGGCGGCCCCGGAGGTGGACGTGGACGTGCGGTTGATTTTTCTTCCCGCTTTCCCAGCCGAGCGACACAGAAGAGCGGCGTTTCGCCCCATGCCCCTCCCGCCCTCATGAGGAGCCCCATGAGTGCGAGAGAGACAGAGCGACGACTCTCAGTGTGCTTTGCTCGCGTGTCGGTTGGGAACCTCGCGGGATTAGGGCCGGCCGCTTCGTTCCACGTTATTCCCCGCATAAATTCCCCCACATTGTCAAACGCGAGGCTGCGATGCCGCGATGCTGCGATCCTGTCGATAGGTGGCGCGAAATTTGAAAATGGCTTTGCGCGCCGCGGCGCTATATCCGGTTCCATCCCCGCGGTCACTATGTCATTGCAGAATGAATTACTGGCCACCTCGCGCCGTCCCGCCCCGCCCCGCCTCGCCCCGCCCCCACCCCGCCCTACCCCACCCCACCCCGCCCCGCCCCGCCGCTCAGCCCCCGTGATTTATGTCTCGTCATATCATATCCGGTCAGGGGGACCACCCGTAAGCGACGACGTCGGGCTACTCACCCCACCACCAAATACTTTTCTGTCTCTCTCGCACCCGCTCGCACCTCTACGGATGCGCCACGAGTGCGCGAGAGAGAGAGAGAGAGAGAGAGAGAAGAGAGAGAGAGAGAGAGAGAGAGAGAGACGCAGAGCGTCGAAACAGCTAGACTGCTCGCTTGCCTCTCGTCAAATGTAACCCCTGTATCAATAATAACATCGTCGCGAACAGAGGCAGCAACAACAACAATAACATGGACAACAACAACAGGGGCTGTGTGCCCGCAAATAAATGAAAGCCACGGCTCTCTCCTTTCACCCCCCGGAGGCCGGCTCAAGATTCCAGGAAGTGGGAGTGGGATGGAAAAGGATGCGCATTGTTGTTGTTCGGAAACGCTGCGTTTCTTCTCCCTCTACGTGTGTGTGTGTGTGTGGGGGGGGGCTTCCAGGACAGAGGCACGCCCTCGTCTATTGCCACGGAAGCTTATTCCTATTTGTGAGCACTGGGTTATGGGTTCGATCGGTTCGATTTGCCAGGGCCCTCATATTGCTTTCTCGCTGGCCGGAACGTGGTCTCATCCGCCACCGTGTACAGTCTGTACAGCACGGAAAAAAATGGATTTGCTAGCCCAGCTAAAAATTAGCCGAGGCAGCTAATGTATTGGCTGGTATGGCGCCACCGGAGATTTTAGGTGGCACAGCCAAACTACAGCTGCACTAGCTATTTTGTTAGGTGTTACAACTTTTGAATATTGGCATACGCTGCATGCATATTAGTTGAGGCAACTAATATTTTTGCCTTCCTTCGGTGAAAATCAGCTGTTTGGACTAACATGGGCCAAAAGTCGCCCCAAAAAACGTTCAGGAAAGGGGATGCGAACTCCAGTCTCGCAGTTTCAGAGACGGGGACGGTACCACCGCGCCACCACGTCATTAGGAGAATAGCGGCACCAGCCACGCATTTAGCACTTTGCGACGGGCAACGTTCGTTCCCTCGCGCTGTTGAGACTATGAAGAAAATGCCCCTGGTCACATTGCTAGATGTCATCGCAGCGCCGTGGTACCGTCCTCATCTCGTAAAACAAAGGACAAGGGTTCGCGTCCTCTTTGCCTAACTTTTTGTGCGCATTTGGCCCATGTTAGCCACGCTGACCCATTTATTGGTGGTGGGCCAAATTTCACCGAAGGAAGGAAAATATTAGTTGCCCCCAAAAATGCGCTGCGTATGCCTATTCAGAAGTTATACACCAACAAAATAGCTATTCCCAGCTACATTTGGGGGCCCATTTTAAATGGGGCGATCCGGCCAATTTCCCGGGCCCTCAAAATTTTTTGCTGGGGCTGGCCAAACCCCCATTTTTTCCCCGTAAGTACACTGTACCACTACACATTGCGGATCGTGATGGCCAGCAGACTGATTCCGAGAGTCGTTTTCGTCGCTCTGTCTCTCTCGCACCTTTACGGGTCTCTCTAGAGTGCGAGAGAGACAGAGCGAGGAAAACCCCCCCCGGGGATCAGTCTTCATGGTTCGAGTTGTTGTCTCTCAGCGTGGCGGTTAAATGGCCGGGAAGACACGCGTCGGACGTCAATCGAGTTATGGACCTCGTCGCTACTCCACGCGCGAGGCACCGGGACACTCAAAGCAGACGCCCTCCGGCGATACCCCTGCACGCTGAAGTATAACTCTAAACGCTGGCCGTGCATTGAAGCATGGAGTATCCACGGCGTTGTTGCTGTCGAAATACTCCTCCTGAAAAGCCAGTAATCCACCACACCACGCGTGGTGGGGTATTGACAATTTCGTTTGTTTTACCCTTGCCAATAATTAACGCTTGCCAGGAAATGCCTTAATCTGGCGATACCCCGCGCCACCCGCCGCTCCGCGCTCCGTTCCGCCTTTTTAGCGCGGGGGTATCGCCGTCTTTGCGCCGCGACTTTGACAGTTTGACGTCAGAAGCAGCGCCTTGATTGGCTGCAGACTGATGCCGAGAGTCGTTGTCGTCGCTCTGTCTCTGCCGCGCCTCTACAGGACGCCCCGTGAGTGCGAGAGAGACAGAGCGACGAAAACGACTCTCAGTGTGCTGGCAGCGCAAAGCAGCGCGAAGCGACACCTCAAAGGGAAGCGCCACTTTGCGGCTGTGGCTTCGTTTGGGGTTCGTTTAGAAGTACTCACAGTGAACGAGCGCCAGATTAGTGAGGGAGAGAGGGGGGGCAATTAGAGAGAGAACTCGCTGCTCTGATTGGTCCAGTAGACGCGGAGAAAGGGGGAGGGGTGCCTCGATGACGTGTCACTCTGACTGGAAATGTGGCCAGTTACTGTACGCATCGGGGCGTGGCGGGGCGGGGCGGGGCGGGGTGGGAGCGTTCCACCGCATCACGCAACCGAGAGACTTTGGCTTTGGCTCCAGACCGCGTTTCTCCGACAACATTCCGTTTCTCCGAGAGCGCGCTTATTTTTCATAATTTGTCAACATTTTTAAGGACGCTGCATTGCTCTTCAACTGCATTGTCGATGAAAAGCAATCTGAGCTGATGGTAAAAACGGTTCCTGGTTTTTCTAGGAACCCTATGACAAAGAGAGAGGTGATTTCCAGGGAGTTCCTGGAAAAAACAGGAACCGCTTTTACCGTGCACCGCCACTCACCACTGCCAAAGACCAAAGAACGTGAAGGGCTGTTGTCGGTGCTCTTGTGCTCTTTCACGTGTGTATGTCGGGGGATGTGGACTCACTCGGTCCGGCCGACCGCGGACCAACCCGCAGAGGGAAATTGTTCGATTCTCGGAACGCATATTCGCGGAGCCCGAAGCGGAGCGCCGGACGCGAAACACAGCGCGCTAGCCACCGAGTTGGAATGTGGGTCAAAGGGGACTCCTGCTGCTGTGACTCTCTCAGACTCCCATGGTTGTTACTCCTCTCACAGTCTCCTTTGCAGTGCCTCCTCTCACAGTCTCCTTTGCAGTGCCCCCTCTCACAGACTCCTTATTGCAGTGACCTCTCTCACAGACTCCTATTGCAGAGACCCCTCTCACAGACTCCTATTGCAGAGACCCCTCTCACAGACTCCTATTGCAGTGACCCCTCTCACAGACTCCTATTGCAGAGACCCCTCTCACAGACTCCTATTGCAGAGACCCCTCTCACAGACTCCTATTGCAGAGACCCCTCTCACAGACTCCTATTGCAGAGACCCCTCTCACAGACTCCTATTGCAGAGACCCCTCTCACAGACTCCTATTGCAGAGACCCCTCTCACAGACTCCTATTGCAGAGACCCCTCTCACAGACTCCTATTGCAGAGACCCCTCTCACAGACTCCTATTGCAGAGACCCCTCTAACAGACTCCTATTGCAGAGACCCCTCTCACAGACTCCTATTGCAGAGACTCCTCTCACAGACTCCTATTGCAGAGACCCCTCTCACAGACTCCTATTGCAGAGACCCCTCTCACAGACTCCTATTGCAGAGACCCCTCTCACAGACTCCTATTGCAGAGACCCCTCTCACAGACTCCTATTGCAGAGACCCCTCTCACAGACTCCTATTGCAGAGCCCCCTCTCACAGACTCCTATTGCAGTGACTCCTCTCACGGACTCACAGGTCCTTGTTGCAAAGTGACTTGCTGCCTTTCACAGACTCCTCCCCTTCTGCTTGCAGGCTTCCTCAAGACTGGCGCCAAAAGCTCGGCGCAGGGCAACTTCGGCCTGATGGACCTGGTGGCGGCCCTGCACTGGCTGCGCGAGAACCTGCCCGCGTTCGGCGGCGACCCGCAGCGAGTCACTCTCATGGGCCACGGCACGGGGGCGGCGCTGGCCAACGTGGTGGCGGTGTCGCCCGTCGCAAAGGGTAAGTGCACTGTAAAATAAAATAAAAATTATAACAAAACTTGTAAAGACGTACACTTTCCAAATCGCTCTTGCTACCATTGCAGGAGTGAGTGTGTTGGCAGTAAACGCGGCTCGACGCGGGTTCAATGTTCGAAGTTCGAATCCCACCGGCTGCCTTTCTTATTTTCCGCACTTACATTGTTGCTTCCCCCTCCCCTGCGCGTTTCGGCCGCACCACGCGACCGAACCTATATTTCTTATTTATGGCTGGCGATGCGCGTTGCCTTGGCGTTGCCTCTCCGTCACACACCCCCTTGTGTCGGGTGCCAAGCGCAGCAGTCTCCCCCCTCCCCCTTTTCCCCGGAGACGAGAGCCGAGCCAGCGCGAGCCGGGCGAAGGCGAAGCTAGGCGGGACGAAGAAGGCCCTGAAGGCGAGGCACGCTGGCCAAAGTCATTAGTGTTTTTGCCGTTTCGGTTTCGGCCGAGAGTTGAACGGCAAAGTGGTACGATTCCTGCTGCTGCCGCATCGCACAGGGTCGGCCGTGGGGCGGGGCGGGGCGTGGTGGGGCGGCGCGCAGCTGGGGCGTCTTAACCAAAGACTGTGTGTGTGCTGAGCCACGGCCACGCCACGCGGCGCGCTGGCTGGGCCAACACACGGGTCACTGCACCCCCAAGCCGACACGCCGCCGCCCTTTTTGACCTAGACTGTTTTCGAAACTTAAATTTTCATCATCAGTGCATTATCCCGCTAACATTATCCCCGTGCTCTATAAAAAAAATCTTTGCGCACTCTATGAAAAACCTTTGCGCGCTCTTTGAAAAAACTGCACATTCTATAAAAAATATCTACGCATTCTATGAAAAATATCTACACACTCTATGCAAAACATCTACGCGTTCTATGAAAAATCTCTGCGCACTCTATTAAAAACCTCTGCGCACTCCAGAAAAGGCCTGTTCAAAGGCCCTAGTGTCTTAATAAGTACTGTACAAAGTCTAACCGCGTGAGTGAGACAAGGTGGCCGAGGGCAGGACTCTAGGTGGCTCTGTGAGTGGGACTCTAGGTGGCTCTGCGAGTGAGACAAGGTGTCCGTGGGCAGGACTCTAGGTGGCTCTGTGAGTGGGACTCTAGGTGGCTCTGCGAGTGAGACAAGGTGTCCGTGGGCAGGACTCTAGGTGGCTCTGTGAGTGGGACTCTAGGTGGCCCTGGGTGGCGTGGCCCGGTCCTGGGAGGGCTCGGCTTGGCTGTGCATGCATAAACCATGAGACACGGCCCGCCGGAGAACCGCTGCCGCCTTTTCGCAGTGGAGTGCCAGGAGGAAGGGGGGGGGGGCTTTAGGCTTCGCCACACATAATCAATCCCCGGCAGCTCAAATTGGCGAGGGAAGCACGTGTCTCGCTCGTTGGGCACTGCCGCGGGCAGTCCAGCAGAGACCATAAAAAAAAATTATTTTTTCTTGAAAAAAAAACTGTTTCTTTTAATTTAATTTTTTTTTTAAATTTCGGCAGCCAGAAAATTACTTTTTTCTCCAGCGTCATGTGTATAGACTGTCCGAATAACGGAAGAACCATGTGTATCTGGCTGCGGCTGCGCCCCCGGGCTGTTTTCTTTTCCTTATATTTGGTGGGGGAGTGCGGTGTGTGTGACCTGGCGTGGCGGGGTGGGGTGGGGTGGGGTCGGGCGGGGTGGGCTGAGGACGAGCACCCGACTGGCGAACCCCCAGTACCTCAACGATAACAACAAAAAAAGAGCAACGCGTTGTATGCCGAATGGTCGTGGAACGAAGTTGGATGCAATTTAATCTACTACGAAACCCCGCGGTCTCTTGCGCGTTATTGGTTCAATTTAGTCCGCTGCAAAAGTAGTTTTCTCTCCTGTGGGGAAAGGGGAGGGGCAGGCGGGGGCGCTCATTGGATTTCGGCGGCCAGGCGAATCCACCACGGCGTGCATTGGCTTTCAGTGTGCCACGCTCGACCGCCTGATGATTCGGTACGGCCACTTTCTCGTCTCTGTCTCTGTCGCACCTGTGCAGCGACCCACGGGAGTGCGAGAGAGAAGGCACACTGGCTGATTTGGGAAGCAGTCCAATCAGCGATTTCTCTCCGAGTCCGCCGTGGCTTTCCGACCCTCGTTCTGACCACATCCTCACTCCGAAAATTTTTGAATGCCACTTGATGACAATTTCAAGGCTGATTTTTCTAATCAGAATGTCATTAAACTAATGGATGACGTAGTTGTCACGTCCATGCTAGTACAGGAACATGGGTGAAATGGTCGTCCGAAATTGTCATCAATTTGAAAGTGGTGAAAAATGCCAGCCTCTCTCTTGTCGTGTGACAAGTGTCATGTTTTCAAGTGACCCTGCTGCAAGGACCCTGCAGGAGGCATCCGGTGGGGTTTTCAGCCGCTGCTTACAGTGTCTCTGCCTGTTCCAGAGCTGCTGCACCGGGTGGTACTGCTGTCGGGGTGCGCGCTGAGTCCCTGGGCTCTGCAGCGCGACCCGCTGGCCGTGAAGCGCCGCGTGGCGGAGCAGACGGGGTGCCACGGCGACCTGCTGGAGGACGACCTGGCGCCCTGCCTGCGCGCGCGCCCGCTGCACCAGCTGCTCGCCGTGCGCCTTGACCCGCCCCGCTTCCTGCCCGGCTTCGCCCCCTTCGTGGACGGCGCCGTGCTGCTCGGCGCGGGCTCCACCTCGCTCGGCGACCTGGGTAAGCACACTGAGAAAACCTCAACAACTTGTCTTACAAAGAAAAGCAACTCGCTAACACAAAGTGTTTTGAGCATGCATAAGCTTACAAAGAAAATACTTGGTAAACAGCAGCGGTGGGTTCACAGTGTGGCGGTTGAAGGGCATGACCGACTGAAAGCGAAGGTCTTGCAGTGCAGAGCGTAGCAACAGGTGGAGCTTGACCATGCCCCTGTTTATGAAACCAAGTGTTTTGCTCATTCCTTGAAACGTGGAGACTCAGTACATGTCGCTTCTCCGCGGCTCTTGTTAGAACGTCGTATGTAGCAGGGATCAACAGTGGTATCGGAAATCTCTAAAGGTTATTACTCTTTCTCGTTTTCATTCGAGTACGTCGATTTTCGCCGCAGCAATCGTTTGCAAATTGTGGGTTGTTTGAAAACAGTCCCAATTCCCCACCCTGAGTTCCCCCCTCCCCTTCCTCCCGGCTGACGGAGTGCCCGTAGCTCTTGCCGGTGAAACGTCCCCGGTTCGAATACAGCCTCCAGACGCAGCGCATTTCTCAGCCCTTATCCGTCACTGTCCCTGAAAGTAGCATAATGAACCCGTCCCTTCCGAATAAGCAACCCCATCCCCACCCCCTTCCCCCGTGCCCCTCGGGCATCCAATCTCTGCCCCTGAAATTTGTCACGGAGAATCGACGTGCGGAATGGCACCGAGTGGCCGCCTCGCCACGCCACGCCCCGCCCTATCCCGCCCCGCCCTATCCCCCCGCCCCTCCCCGCCCCGCCCCACCCCGCCCCGCCCCGCCCCACCCCGCCACGCCCCGCCCCGCCCCGCCACGCCCCGCGAAAAGACGGCTTCCCGCGCATTCTTCTGGCCCTTTCTTCAATTCTCTGTGTATGTATAGGGCCACATTGCCTGCGGCCCTTCCATACAGGGTCGCACAATACGCAAGAAGAGTTGCGGGAGCTGAGCCTATCTCTCTCTCTCTCTCTCTCTCTCTCTCTCTCTCTCTCTCTCTCTCTCTCTCTCTCTCTCTCTCTCTCTCCTCTCTCTCTCTCTCTCTCTCTCTCTCCCTCTCTCCCTTTCATTCCACGCTTACCCTGTTTAAAAACCCTTGGGAAACTTGGTGCGAAAAAGATTTTATTATTTCTATTTTGCGTAAGTTTCTGGCAGGTATGTGGAACAATAAAATCTATTTTTGAAAAGCGAACTTTTTGGAGATTTCCAATAGAGTTTCAAAACGCCTTTTTTTCGAGAGTTTCTTTAACAGTGTAGCCCCTGTATCCTGTCGTCCACATTATCGTGCCCACTTGTTTTTACCGCTCTCCGTTCCCTCCCTCTCACTCCCACTTTGTTTCTTCTTCCCCCACTTTGCACCCTCCCCCTCCCCTTGCCTCCTCCCCTTGCCTCCTCTCCCTTCCCCCTCCGCTCTCCATCCCCTCCCCTCCCCTGCCGCTCCAACGCTCCTTCTTTTGCACCTCTGTGCCTCCACCTCCCCTCCCCTCCCCCTCTCCTCCGTCCGCACCTCCCTGCCCCCTTCCCCTCCGCTTGCCCTGACCCTTGTCGCGAAGAAGGGAGGTGAGAAACGGGCAGTTCGGGCCGACGGGGTCGGGGTGGCGTGGCGTGGCGTGGCGTGGCGTGGCGTGGCGTGGCGAGGCGGTCCCGCGGCAGCAGACTGCTTCCGAACCGCCGCTTTCATCGCTCTGTCTCTGTCGCACTCATGGTCCGTCCCCGGCGGGGTGCGAGAGAGACAGAGCGACGACACGACGAATCTCCGGAACGGCAGGGCGGCCCGGGACGGTCCAGGAAGGGCGGTCGAGGCTGGAAATGCGGCGAACTCTTCAATCACAGTCTTCTCGGGCGAGGCGGCCCGGGCTGGGCCAGGCTAGGCTGGGCGATCACTGGTAAAACTAAAGCGTAGTTTCACCCTCTATTTACCAGCGATATCAATTTACGCTTGAAATCAAGCGTAACAGGCTCGTCCACCGAGATTCCCCCTATGCATGGGAAAATTTGAAGTGTACACTGCAAAGCCAGTGGTCAGTTACGTCTTCAAGTATAACTCTATGTGCTTCCTAACGCACACCAAGTCGAGGGGGTAACCACTCGCGTACAGTATACGCTGTAGTTTTTTCCAGTGATGCTTCCGCAAACGCTCTCTCCAAACTCGTCCCAACCGAACTAGCGACGCGCGAGGCACGCCAAGAACCGTGTCGGCTCGCCCTCATAATATTCTTTTCCTTCTTGCCCCGCATCGCGGTCCGCGAGTCCGTTGCCGCAACCGCGCTGTAAAGTCCAAACTTTCATCTTCTTTTCGTCCTTTTACTGCGTTGCCCGACCGCGGCCTGGCGGGCCTGGCGGGGGGCCTCGCCGTGGACGACGCCGCCTTCGGGCCCGCGACGTCCGCGACGTCGGCAGTGGAAGTTGGCCGCCTGCAGACTGATTCCGAGAGTCGTCGCTCTGTCTCTCTCGCACTCACGGGTGCCCCGCACAGGTGCAAGAGGGACAGAGCAACGACTCTCGGAATCAGTGTGCTGCTTTCCGAGTGTAGGCGCGCGCAATGCGGGCAGGGCGGGGCAGGGTGGCCGGCTTGTTAGGCCACTACACTGCAGGCAGAGTTTGGCAGGCCTGCTCCATCGGGGTCGGGTCGGGGAGGCTCGAGCCACCTAACCGCAACGGAGAGTGAAAACTAGCAGCCGCTGAGTGTAAGTGGGTGCATCGAGGGGCGGTGCAAGGCGGGGCGGGGCGGGGCGGGGCGGGGCGGGGCGGGGCGGGGCGGGGTTCGCGCTATCTCGTTGCACTTCCGTTCAAACAGTCTAGGGATGGAAGTTGTGCGTCCGGGGCGTCCCAGGCGCCCCGCCCCAAACTTGCCCCGGGAAGCCATTCAACAGTTGTTGGCGATGCAGCACGGCGCGTTCGGCCCCGCACCGCAATGCACCGCAATGCACCGCAATGCACCGCAATGCACCGCAATGCACCGCAATGCACCGCAATGCACCGCAATGCACCGCAATGCACCGCAATGCACCGCAATGCACCGCACTAATTGGATTGCCGCGCACGTGCGAGAGAGACGGTTCTTATCTCTCTCGGCGTGGAACTTGCAACGACGAAGAAAGCACTCCTGGCGGTCTGCGGCAGCAGAGCTTCTGTCTCTCTCGCTCCGCTGCGGGACGCCCCGTGAGTGCGAGAGAGACGGAAACACTGTTTGGAATCCGGTTCCGGACGTAGGCCGGAATCCCTCGGGCTCCTTGGAGGCCTTGGCCAGGCCTTGGCCTTCTTGCAGTGGAGTGGTCGGGCCTCCTGTTTCCGGAGGGCCGTGTCGTCGCTCTGTCTCTGTCGCACTCGAGGGGCGTGGCGTGGCGGTGCGAGAGAGACAGATTCCCTCGGAATGAGGCGGCTGCTCGCTCGCTGCGGAATGAATATGCCACGACTCGTTTGATGTATCGATGCTAACCAGGCAGAAGATGCGACATAAGTTGGACGCCTCTCTCTCTCTCCCTTGGCTCCGGCTCGCCCTGGGCCCGCCCTGCCCTCGTCGCACCCTGGCAGATTTATCGCAGTGGAGGCCGCGTAACGTTTTCCTAGCCCTGTCCTCGTTGCTCTAATGGGCTGCCAGTGAGTGCGAGAGAGAGGGACGGCGTTACGTGGGTATGTGGACGAACCCTATGGCTTGGCCGGGCTTGGCACACTGCGGGGAGTGCGTCCCATTTCGGGGGAATCCTTCCAAAGTTGGAAACATGAGTAAAAGGCTTTTTGTTGCTGCTTTTGTAACGGTATGATGCTGAAGCATTTCACCGCAAATCCATCATAGTACGTGTGCACAATGAACTATGATGTCTCGTACAAAATTGTACATAACTTTCCAAAACTTTTTGGATTTGTTATTCTCCGACTAAGTGTGTCTTTTGTCTGCAGGCGGCGGCGCCGAGCTGGCAGACTTCCCCACCCGGGACCTCATGTTCGGCCTCACCACCACCGAGTCCTACCTGGACCTGTCGGCGCAGGACCTCGAATTCGGCTTCAACGAGACGCGGCGGGACCGCATCCTCAGGACCTACGTGCGCAACGCGTACCTGTACCACCTCAACGAGATCTTCGCCACGCTCAAGAACGAGTACACGGACTGGGAGCGGCCGGTGCAGAACCCGCTGAGCGTCCGGGACGCCACGCTGGAGGTGCTCTCGGACGGACAGACCACGGCGCCGCTGCTGCGCGTCGGCTTCCTGCACACTGCCAGGGCGCGGGGCGGCACGCGCGGCGGCAGGACCTACTTCATGCACTTCAAGCACCAGAGCGGCGAGCGGGACTTTCCCCAGGTCGGTGCACTGTTAGGCTGTGAGGGTGTGGTTTTGTAGCGCCCGCCGAGTCGAGGCTAGGCCGCACGCTCAACACAGCTTCTCTCTCTCTCTCTCTCCCCTCCCCCGTCCCCTTTTGATCTCCCTTCTCTTCATTTTCAATCGCGGTACAGAGCGGCGATGCCTGGCCTCTCCCACATGGAGCTGCAGACTGTTTCCGAACGCTGCTTTGCCGCTCTGTCTCTCTCGCACCCCATACGGACCGCCCCATGAGTGCGAGAGAGACAGAGCGACGAGAGCGGTTTTCGGAATCAGTCTGCAGCGCCGCTGCGCTCACAAAGCCACCGCACCGCAGCATCAAGTTTCGGCCGGCCACGCGGCCACGCGGCCATCGGCGCAGCTTTCCTACACTGTCGCGGCGGATATTCGATACCCGCTCTTTCCCCGCCGAGTCCCGCGGCACCGAACAGAACTCGATCCGCGAGCCGAACGAGTTGGCGAGACCGTGCCGCGCCCGAGAAATGGGCACTTTTCAGCGACTTTCCCTCAGTGACAACGTGACGAAGAAAGGCTGTCCACTGGACGCGAAACGAACACCAACGCCTCGAGGCCTTCGCCGCCCGGGGAAAGCGGCGCCTAGTTTTCCCCATCGGTTTCCCACCCTCCTGGAAAAGGAGGTCGTTTTTCCCGGTTTTTCCTGGGTGACCCTTGGAAACCCGGACACTGGGCCGTACAGCTGAATTGGGGACCGGAGGGGGTGGCCAAAAAACTCAAGACACGTTTTGAGCTCCAGAGTCGCTACGCAGGACTCGAACTAAACGTGTGACCCCACCAATGGATTGCTCTCCGAACGAGGAATCCATTAATGGGGTCACACGTTCCGTTCGAGTCCCATTTAGCGATTTCGGATCCGGACCTCAAAACCCGTCCGGGATTTTGACCGCCTCCACCGGTCTTCTGGCCCACAGTGGAGTGGGGACTGCCTGCCAGGCCTCTGGAGGCTGCGCTGCGCCGGGCTGCGGCGGGGTGGGCTTGAGCCGGCTGGAGGCTTTTAGCCGCTGTTTCCTGGGGCCTTACTTATTCACCCCGTCTTAGGTATTGTGTTGAGCGAGTGATCAGCCTCTGGGCGTCGCAGTCGTCGCTCATGCGGGATGAACAGTGTCGCGCCGTCTCTCTCGCACTCGGCGGGCGGCCCGTATGGCCGTATGGGTGCGAGAGAGACAAACGCACTGTTCGGTACAGCTCCGCACGTCCTGGGTTTTTCATTCGGGGAGCGGCGCGTAGGCCGTGGACATTTCAACCCCACCCCCACGCAGCCACAGATCCCAATAAATATTACAGTGCTGGCAAGAAGAGCGCCGGCGAAAGGATAAATTGGTTTCGCTGGTTTCGCATTGCAGGTAGCGCGGGCTGGCTGGCTCCCTGGCGGGGCTGGCAGGCTGGGCTGGCGTGGGCTGCACAGTGGGCCAGAAGACCGGCGCAGGCGGCCAAAACTCTGGACGCGTCTTGAGCTCCAGAGTCGCTAAATGGGACTCGAACCGAACGTGTGACCCCACCAATGGATTTCTCTCCGAACGAGGAATCCCTTGGTGGGGTCACTCGTTCGGTTCTAGTCCTGTTCAACGAGTCCGGAGCACAAAACGCGTCTAGACGTTTGGCCGCCTCCACCGGTCTTCTGGCCCACTGTGGGCCGCCTACTGTCTGTGTGTCTCAGACAAGCGGGGTCGCTCCCACTCGTTCTGCCCCCGACACGCCGAGCCTGCAAAAAGAGCCCCGACTCGCCGCGGCATGACTAACGCAATCCTTCCTGTGCCCCTTCCCTCCTCCCTCCCCCCCCCCTCCCCCACCACCTCAAGCTTCACAGGGAGGCAAACTAATTCGCCGTTCTAATCCTCTCCGCCGCAGCCAGTTTTTCTTGGTTTTCTAAAGCTGTCCGCTCCTTTCCCGTATCCTGGTAATGGTTTTGCTGTTCGGGTGAAAGAGCGCAGAGAGAGAGAGAGAGAGAGAGAGAGAGAGAGAGAGAGAGAGAGAGAGAGAGAGAGAGAGAGAGAGAGAGAAACACCGGGGGGGGCAGTGAGTACGCTTAGGAGCTCGGTGTTGTGGGGTCGCAGATCAAGGAATGAAACCAAGGCCAACTGTATCCTGTGCCCCGAGGAACGAGTGTCTAAAAAGAAGAGGCCAAAACGAGTGTGTAAAAAGAAAGGGTCAAAACGAAACCCTGTTCTGTTTATTCGACTCCACATCTTTTTTTTAAATCCCTTTACGTTCCCCCTTTCCCCTTTTTTGCAGCCCCGTGTTCCCTACCTTGTTTGCTTTTCTTTGGCAGACACGAGACACGATACCGCACCCGAATACTACTTGAATGCGTTTCGGAATCCGCGACTTCGACTTCGACCTTCTGACCCCCGTCGTCGCGGTGCATGCAAACTCGAACGGAGAGAGAGACAGCCGAAGTCTTTGTTTATGATCATTTCGATTTATACGTACTGCACTTCCGCTTTGCAGCCGCCGAGGCCGGCCTTCCGTCGTTACGGACTTACGACGCGTCGTCGATGACGGAAACTTTTACAACGCTCTTCCCTCGTTTTTTTTTGTGTGCGTGTGTTTGTTTTACTGTGGCACAACGCGCAGTTTCGGGGGGCCAAAGCCTCGCCCTGTCGGAAGTCATGCATGGGGTGTACCCATTCGTGTAACACGCACACACACACACACACACACACACACACACACACAGACGCGAGTCGCGGGAGGCTGTTTTACGATCGCAGACGCCCACAAATATCCCTTAGATATGATTACTGACGTTCGTTCATACTCGCGCCGTATATTCAGATTTCGCCCGTGGGCGGCAGCAGGTGCACTGTGAGGCCCCACTTTTCCTTTAACTTCCCCCCCCCCCCCCCGCTGATTTTCCGAAACAAAAGTCCTGGACCAATCAGCGATGGGAACCTGGCGCGCTCGCTCCAGTTTGTTCGCCGTGTTTATGAGAAATCGGGGCTGGCGCGCGGGTAGCCCCGGGTAGCCTCGCGCGGGGAGATAATTTATTTCTGCGTGAGAATGTAGCCTCCCTCCACCCAGAGGGCAGCAGGGTGAGGATAAGCAGGTAGCGGAGGGCATGATATGGCTCGACTCAAACGACGCCGGGCCGCGCCGGGCCGGCCAGGCTTCGAATGGCGAAGTTTCAAGGAGTTTGCTGTGACTTGTGGCAGGTGGTCGTCCAGCAGGGTGCTCTGGATCTCCCCCACCCTCTCGCTCCCTCTATCTAACTCACCCGCGCCTCTCTCTCTCTCTCTCTCTCTCTCTCTCTCTCTCTCTCTCTCTCTCTCTCTCTCTCCCTCTCTCTCTCTGTGGAGAACACCAACGAGAGCTCTTATCGCCAACCACGCCTCCCCCCGGCAAGGACGCCGGCAGCACTGCAGCAGAATCGTGCTTTAAAAAAAAATACACAGCAAAAAGAGGAAGAAAAGTCGCAGTAAAACTCGCCCGCAGTGGAAACTTTTTTAATTTTGCCGTCCTGCATTTGTCTGCGTGCATACATATAAAAATTGTGGGCTGACAATGGCTCGGCGTTCGGCGGGGACGACTGGCTGGCTGTGTCACATGTCAGCGGCTGGATAGTAGTGTATGGGAGAGAAGGATAGGCGAGTGGGAACATCAGGGGTTGACTTTGCCAGGCAGTCAGGACGGACAAGCCGACAGCAGGCATTCAGGCAGACAGAGCAGGAGTGAAGGGACGAGGCAGGGTTCGACACAGGTGATCTGAACCCATGCCCTTTCAATGCCCTCGTTTCAGTACGGATAAAACTTCATTCAGTCGTTCATCAGGTCATGCATCAATTCATTCGTCATTCATGCATCAATTCACTCATCAATTCATGTAGCAATTCATTTATCATTGATCAATTAATTCAACCGTCCATTCATTCATTCATTCATTCATTCATTCATTCATTCATTCATTCATTCATTCATTCATTCATTCATTCATTCATTCATTCATTCATTCATTCATTCATTCATTCGTTCATTCGTTCATTCATTCGGCAAGCCAGTCGTTGATGACGTCGTTTCGACTCGCCATCCCTCACTGGGTGCTGGATTATCAATCAACACGAGCCTTGGTGGTTTATGGTCGTCCTTAGAAGCTCTATCCTCCCATCCTGCAGCCTATCCTAGCGTCCCAGCCGATCCGGCCGGAGCTCCCCCCGGCGCGGCACGGCGCGGCGCCCAGCCGTTAAAGGTTATGAGTGCCTTGACTCCAGCGAGCCGCTCCAGAACGCTCCAGAATCCCACATCCACTCCAGGCGCGCTCTACACGCTCTGCGCCAATCGGGGTCCGGCGCGAGGCTAGAATCGTTAGTCACGAGGCAATTCCCGTTGCCCGGGCGTAATTAATGAAGCTAGTTCGGCTCGTCTGGTGCACCATTTTCTTATCGTCTATGCTTTACCCCCTTTTTTGGAGGTCGGCATTTGTTCCATTCTCTTTTTCTTGCGGCGGCGACTGACTTTCATGAAGCCATGAAGGAAAGCTGGGGGGCTGACCGAGCGGCCTCCATTTCCACTCAAGTTCCGGCAGGCTTTACCGTTAAATTGTTCTGGAAAACGCGCCCGTATTCATTATACATTCAATCTACAGGAAAAACAATAAAAAGGAAAACACACGCAGGCCCGTGTAGTATTGCGGTGGCACGGCCGTGGCAAGGCGCAGCGAAGTTGGCCTTTGTTTTGTTTGTTTTTACCAGTGTGGTTGTTTTGCAGCGGTCGGGCAGCGTGCGCGGCGAGGACATCCCCTACGTGCTGGGGCTGCCCCTGGTGGGCGGCAGGCCTTTCTTCCCGCACAACTACAGTGGCCCGGACGCGCAGGTCTCGCTCATGCTCATGAGGTACCTCGCCAACTTCGCTCGGAGCGGGTGAGTACTTTCGGCCAACACACATCTAGTGTGTGTTTTGAGCAAACATAAGCTTAGAAATAAAATACTTCGTAATTTACGATCTATTTCTTCGTATAGTAAACAGATATATGCTTAACATATTTCGCAAGGTTTAAGCGTGTGGGTACCCGATTGGGACCACTCAGACCAATGACTTTTGCTGTTCCATTTCGCAGACATGGCTTTACTAACGAACTCTTTAAAAAAAAAATGTTAAAATTAAAGCTTTCAACATTAATTACCTGCCTGCCGGATCGCTCTGCACGCTCGGTCTCTCTCTGTCGATTGAGTTGTATTTCGTTTTTTTTTCGCCAGTTTGCGGGTATCGGTGCCTTTGGCGCGTTTTAGCGGTGGGTACACGGACGGGGAAACGTTCGTCCCTCGGAATCGGTCCGACACGCCGAACTTTCACAGTTGGCGGTGAAGTCGTTGAAATTCAGGGATGAAAGATGAAATACGGCCACTGCGGAGTGCGTCCAGACCAAACTCCTAACTCCATTTCAATTTTTTTTTCCTACTGCTACTTTGTGGCGGCGTGCAGTCAGTATGCAAGAGGGTCACCAGGCCACGGACCAGCGGGGAGGGAGGGAGAAGGACGACCGGAGAGAGGGAGAAAGGGAGAGAGAGACAGGAAAGGACGGCGCTGGGTCGGGGATTGTGAAGGTCGAGAAAGGGATTTGAGGCGAGGCAGTTTGGTGCGGCGGCACGGCCGGCCCGGGCCTGTGAGGGCTGCGAAGGCTGGCAGGGCCGTTAAGGTGACCTGCGGAAAGGCCCTAAAACAGGCTGGCGTTTAGAAAGGGGGCAGCGGAGCGCTGCGAAGCGAAACCTTTTGCCGGTCCCACATTCGGTTTGCCTGTGTGTGGCGCGGCGTAGCGTGGCGCGGCGTGGCGCGTCACAGAAAGTGACACAGAAATGAAATTCCCCGCGCTCCCGGCGCGACTGCGTAGTCACTGCGTGACTGGCTCTGGGTCAGTGTTGTGACGCCAGGGACCGCCCTCTGTGTGCATGCTTTCATAATTGCACCCTCCGCTTCCTCGCCACTCTTTATTTGTAAGCATTTTTACTTTCGGAAGTCACAAAATAAAGAGAAGGGCCAGTTTAAAAATTATTTCAAGAAATCTTGAGTGGTTTGTTTCAATCAACTTTTTCAAACTTTTTTCGCTTGTTTTGGTCTTTTAGAGAGTTGACCCGAGGTCGCTGTTTTGTCGAAATCCGTACGACGCGGCCCCGGGGCCCGAGCATCACCACACAACTCAGTCCGAAAAGCAATATAGAAATTCGGCCGCCATAAACGCCCGCGGAGCCCGTCCGTGCCTCTCGCTGCTTTCACCCCGAGCCTTCGGTTAGAGATGGGCCTTTGGTGGCTCAATGCGTGTCTCTGGCTCACCCTTGGGTCGTGCCTTTGGCTGATCCTTTGGTCGTGGCCGACCCTGACCCTTTGGTCGTGGCCGACCCTGACCCTTTGATCGTGGCTGACCCTGACCCTTTGATTGTGACTGACCCTTATAAGCCGACCCTTTGGCCGTGGCTGACCCTTATTGGCCGACCCTTTGGTCGCGGCTGACCCTTATTGGCCGACCCTTTGGCCGTGTCTGACCCTTTGGCCTATCGTGCCTTTCCCTGACCCTTCACCCATGCCTAGCGTCATCTGCTCGCTTATTGCAGGTCCAGCACCGCAGGGCTGAAGGGCTGAAGGGCTCGGCGTGCGAATAAGGCTCGAAGGGCCCCGCAAGGCCGCAACAACGAAGGGACGAGAGGGGGACCCTCCCGGAAGCGGCCTCGAGGACGCCAGCATTGCCGTCTATAAATTGTGGGCCACATTTTGTTTCGAATTGTGTGTGTGTGTGTGGGTGTGTGTGTGTGTCCTCCGCTCTGCGCCGCGCTCCGGCGCCGTGGACGAGCGGGGAGGGTCGGGCCTAACTCGGATCACGTATACGGATGTCAGCACACCACGGCCATTTACCCGTCGCAGGGCGTGGCAGGAAGGACTGGGGCGGGGCGGGCGGGGCGGGGCGGGGCGGGGCGGGGCAGCAAGCGGGTTGGGTCGTCCGGAGCGCAGCCTCTCGTGGCCGAGCCCGGCCCGGCCCAGGGCAGCACCGCGCTAGCTGCTGCAGACGAGTCGGGATCGGCTTCGCGTTTGGCTGGAGGCAAGACTCGTCGCTCGGAATCAATGCAAAGCAAGCAGTGTGGGGGAAGAGGGAGGCGGCGGCGTGGAAAGCAATAAAATGACCGCAACGCTCAAACATTATTGACCAATGCATTGTGATTTTGGTTTGCTTTTTTCCCCTGTGGTGTTGGCCTGCCTGCACGCGCGAAACTCCGCTTGATAGTTCAATCATCGGTTGGTACTCTTTTTGCTTCGCGTGCGGCACGCGAGTGGGTGGGAGGTGTTCTCCTACACTGCCGGATGGAGGGTAGGCCTCGGCCTGCAAAGCCGGGACCGCTAGAACCGCCAGGGCAAGTTTTGCAGCGTTATAATGACGCGTCGATCAGCAACAGGTGTCGCCAGGCGACTTGGCGACTTTGGAAGTTTCCACAACGTCTTACCACATCAGTGTCAATGCCTCCCCCTCCCCTCCTCCTCCTCTCCCCGTGCCACCCTTCTCCTCTCGCCTCGCAGCGTGCATCTAAGGCCGCCCAGAACCGGAAATGCGACGCGGTTTTCTTCCCGGCCTCTCTCTCTCTCTCTCTCTCTCTCTCTCTCTCTCTCTCTCTCTCTCTCTCTCTCTCTCTCTCTCTCTCTCTCTCTCTCTCTCTCTCTCTCCCCGGGCGGGGGTGTGCACACCGAGGTGCACACCGTGGCGGAGGCGTCAAGTTTTCCCGCGCGCGATTGCAAACGTATGGTTCCTTTTAGCGGCGTTCGGCGGCGTTGCGGCGTTACGGCGCCTGGGCGCCACCGAGCGCACCTGGGTACCAATGCGGCAAGCGGGGCCCTCTCATTCCGAGAGTCGTCTCTCTCGCACCGGTGCGGGACGCCCCACGAGTGCGAGAGAGGCAGAGCGACGAAAAACGACTCTCGGAATCAGTCTGCTGGGCGCGCTTTGGGTGTATGCGGGTCACAATGCGTCGCGCAACGGAAACTGTGTCGTGCGAATAGTGCCTACGCCAAAGTGTGTGGCAGCATTCATGGGGAGTGGCCGGGCTGAATGAGGACACATTTTAGGGCGGGCGCGTCAGTGTGTGTGGAGAGAGAGAGAGAGAGAGAGAGAGAGAGAGAGAGAGAGAGAGAGAGAGAGAGAGAGAGAGAGAGAGAGAGAGCAGTATGCTCTATGTGTGTGTACGGGAGGGGGAGTCACGCTTTAGCGCGTGGGCCAACGCCAGTGTCTATAGGCTCGACTCGAAATATCCCTTTCTGAACTACTTGTTGGCATTGCGGACTGCGGGACGTTTTTACCCTTCCACACAATCGCACCACGAAAGGCAAAATCGGTTCCTGGTTTTCCCAGGTACCCTACATTACTGTGACATAGTCTATTTCCAGGGAGCTCCTGATAAAACAAGAAGCCGGTTTTGCCATGTGGAGTGTCTCGTGTTTGACTCCTGTCCCTTGCTCCATTCCGGTCAGACCTCACCTTGTCTGTTTATTTGACCGCGTTGCTGTCGGTGGTGTTGCAGGGACCCCAACAGCGCCATGGACAACGTTCCTCGCGCGCCGACTGAAAACCCCGAGGACTCCGGCCTGGGGCTGGGGCACAACATGGACCTGGAGCCGCCGCCGTTCTGGGACACCTACGACGCCATCAACCAGATCTACCTCGAGCTGGGTGAGTTGAGTCGCCTGCTTCCCGCTGCCTTCGCTGCCTTTGCTGATTCGTCGCCCTGTCTCTCTCGCACTCACGGTGCTTCTACGGGAGCGAGAGAGACAGGGCGACGAAAACGACTCTCGGAATCAGTCTGCTGCCTTCCTTCTTTCGCATGCATTCCGCCGAAGGTGAATATCGTTTCGCGTTGGTTTTCGCCTTTTCGCCGCCTGGCTCGGCTTCTCCTTATGTTTTCGTTGCCCCCGTCGAACCAGATCCATTTTCGCGCACGGCGACCGAGACCGCTTCTAGAGTCGCTTTCGCCGCCCTGTCCCTCTCCCACTCATGGGGCGTCCCGTACGGGTGCGAGAGAGACAGAGCGACGGAAACGACTCTCGGAATCAGTCTGCTGGCTGGCTTGCTTCCAGGTGATTGGCGTCCACTTTCCGCGCGGCCGAACCGAACCGAACCGCCACATTTTCCATTTTCCTTTTCCCGGCGGCTTTTCCCCCCCGCAAGTTACGCTCGGACCAGTGCACCCCGCGGCGCCGTCTCCGCTGCGCCTGTTTGCGATTGGTTCGTCTTGGCGGTCGGGTTCACTGGGCTGATTAACGCTCTGCAAACATCGCGGCCGGCCTATGGACGCTCTGTCTCTCTCGCACTCATGGGGCGTCCCGCAGGGGTGCGAGAGAGACAGAGCGACGGAAGCGGCGCAGCAGGCGGGCCATCCAGCAGCGTGATGTATGGGGCGCCGATGACATCACACCGCTCGATGAGGGTTCGAATACCGACGCCGCCCCACCACCAATAACTTTTTTGTGTGTTTTCGGTTGCTTCTTTGACCTTTGCACCGGTGATGTATTACCGGCGGAGCGAGGCAGCCGCCGCCGCGGCGCGCTGGACGCTGGATTTTTCATCCCGAGCGCCATTTGGGCGAGTCTAGGCCGATTCCGAGAGTCGTCGCCCTGTCTCTCTCGCACTCATGGGGCGTCCCGCGTGGGTGCGAGAGAGACAGAGCGACGGCAGTGTGCCGGGCGAGATGGGCGAGTCCCGCCGCAACCCGATTGCCCGGCGTGTCCTCCCCTCCATCAAGTCGTCGGGAGGTCCTGTGGGAGTTAACCTCTTCGCGCCTCGCAGCCTGGAAGGCTAGGGCCGGGACGAGGCATCACGCACTCCCCCCCCCCTCCCCTTTCCTAATCAAATCCCGACAGGGGCTAATCCGGGGGCTCCTCGAGTCGGTCTAGGCCGCCTATAGAAGCTTATTAAGGGAAGTCCCGGCCCGGCTGCGGCTAAGTCTGCGGCCCTGCGCTGCCGCGGTGCGCCGCCCTCAGGGCTTAAAAATAAAAATACCGCATCGACACTTTTTTGTTCTTGTTTGTTCTTGTTTCTTCACCTTGGTGGCTTGGGCTTTTGGGCTAGCCTTTGCGCTCTGAGCCAAGTTTAGATCTCCTTACAGTCCTGACCCACAAGGCCCCGCCTCGAGCTTGTCAGTACAGATAGATATTCACCAAAGGTTTTCCCCGCGTGTCTTTCTGTTTGGACGATGCTTTATTTTGGCGGAAATGCCAGCCTGCAGTCTGATGCCGAGAATCCTCGCTCTGCCTCTCTCGCACCTATACGGTACGCCCCATGAGTGCGAGAGAGACAGAGCGACGAAAACGACTCTCGGAATCAGCCTGCTGCCGGGGCATCGCCGGGCTTCGCCGGCTTGGAGGCCCCAGCATGGCCTCAGCCAATCAATGCCGTGCCGGATTTTTGGCCCGGCTAGATTTATGTGGTGGTTCTCACGTGCCTGGCCACCCCGGGGCGGTGCGGGGCCGCGCGGCCCCCGGACACACAGTGCGGCAATCGGCATGGGGCCCCGCAGACGCCCTCCCTCCTTCTCTCTCTCTCTCTCCACCGCCGTGGTCCTGTCGGGGGAACGGCCCGGCCCTGCCCACTTTTGTCGGGGGGCGCAACCGTATTTTCGGGTTCGCTTTTCGTTGCTGGCTTTCTGCCGCGTCACGTGCGCTGGGAAAAAATGTATACTTTTTTCATGTGGTGTGTACCCAAATTTGAAAAAAAAAAGTTTTTTCCCATGTGTTTTAAATTTGGAAAAAAAAATTCATGTGTTGTGTATCCAAATTTGTAAAAAAATTTCCGCCCCGTGAATTTTTTTTTAGGACCATATAGTTGCTTTTAGTGTAGTGTGGGTTTTCACCCGGGCGTAGCCAAAAGTTCCGCCGCACGACGTCTGATTTCTGCGGCTTTCGTTTCCACAAAACTTTTCCGGGGTTCTCGTGAAATGGTTGTTCGAGGCGGCTGCCGCGTGCTGTGTGCTCCGATCCTTATTGGCTTTCTCTCCCTCTGATTGCAGGCACCTCCACCAAGACCGAGAGCCACTACCGCGGCCACAAAATGTCCCTCTGGCTCAACCTGCTGCCCCAACTGCACCGGCCCGGCCTGGACGAGCTCAACATGAGGCATCACCACTTCCAGGAGGAAGGCGCCCAGTATTATGACGGTACGTCCCCTCGCGCTCGACACTCTGAAAGTCTTTTCAGTATGATTCTCCATTTTGGCCGCCTCGCCGGTCCTCTGGCCCACAGTGCGTCGGTCTGATCCGTTTCTCGTGGGATGGGTCGGGTGGTCCACCTGAGCGTTCTTAATTGAGTGGGTTCCTTCCCGGAAGGCCCGTGTTGACACATCGGTCGGTACCGCCGGCAGCAACGGCACGGCACTGCCGGGCACTGTCAATACCCCGCCAGGCACTGTCAATACCGCGCGAGGCACTGGAAACCACTTGGACGCGGGGTATCGCCGGATCACTCGCGAGAAGTCCCGAAATCGAAGCGCACTGACTAAATTTCTCCAGAATATTTTTTTTCTGTTTCATTTTTTGTGGTCATGTGGTTATTGTCCGTCTCTTTCTTTTCGGGCGCGCGGCTCGCGGTGAGGCCCTCGCGCTCTCTCCCTCTTGTCGCGATAAGTGTCCCGACCATGTTTTATTCATAAATGATAATCAAACAGCGCCAGTGTTTACATAGAATTTGCTGCTACTGACCTGGCCGGGTTTGGCGCGTCCGAAGAGTCGCCCTCGGAGAGCAAAAAGGGGCAGGACGAGGGGGAAATCCCCGCCTATCAAACTTTCATGCATTTTGCATCGTGTGCGATGCGCCCTACTGCCGCGCGTTGCCAAGGAAATGTTGCCGTCAACCCACACGAGGGTCTCATCCACTCCCCGCCGCGACCCGCCACGCCCCGCCACGCCTCACCCCGCCCCGCCCCGCCCCGCCCCGCCCCGCCCCGCAGTCTGCGCTGCTTTCTTAATAAACGCATCATGTCTGCGCTGCCAAGCCTGGCCGAGCTTGGCCAAGCCGCACTCTTTATCAGCCCCTCGCTGCCAACAATATCCGCCGCGATGAAGTGGCGGGGCGGGGCGGGGCGGGGCGGGGCGGGGCGGGGCGCGGCGCGTGGGCGGATGAGTTGCATTTGCATGAGATTGGCGGGGTGGGGTGCAGCGACAGCACTACTAGATTGCGAGGCAAAAGTCAAGCCGGCGCGGCTGAGAGCGAGGCGGTTCAACTTGGTTCAGCCAACCGGGGCAGCTCTGGACCTGAAAACCTCTAATTAATGCTTAAGTTTGTTCAAGTCTTAACGCGCCTCTGTTGTTGCGCAGGCTCGGTGCGTCCGCAGACCTTCCAGCGGCCGGTGCCGCAGGTGCCGCCGCCGCCGCCACCGCCGAGCACGCCGACGACGCCGTCCGAGACTCCCTCCTCCGCGGCCGCCGCGCCGGGCGTGGTGGCCAACACGGCCGGCGCCGCGCCCGTCACCACCGAGTGCCCCCCGAACGGCACCGCGCTGGCCGCGGCGGCCGCGGCGGCAGCAGCAGCGGCCGCGGCTGCGGCGGGCGGCCCGGGCGCCATCAACGTGGAGACGCTGCGGCCCAACAACAACAACGTCAACAACAACATCCTGCTGCGCAAGTTCGCCAACAGCCACTACCAGAGCTACACCACGGCGCTGTCCGTCACCATCGCCGTGGGCTGCTTCCTGCTGCTGCTCAACATCCTCATCTTCTTCGGCATCTATCACCAGCGCGACCGCGCCAGCAACGCCGAGAAGAAGAAGAAGCAGCGCAAGAAGAAGGAGGAGCTGGCGGATAGCTGCTCCAGCAGCTCGGCCGACGGCCACCACCTGGAGACCAAGCACGCCCTGGCGGCGCTGGTGGACGAGATGCCGGGCCACGGCGGCCACGGCGGCCACGGCATGGCGGGCATGTCGGGCATGGGCCTGGCCGGGATGGCGACCAGCCCCATGGTGGACATGCCGCTGCAGGAGTTCAACTGCTCGCCGCCGCCGGGCTCCAAGCGGCCCATCGCGTCCAACGCCGCCGGTCCGAGCCGGGGTCCGAGTCGAGGGCCTAGTCGAGGGCCGAGCCCCGGGCCCCAGGGCTTGGGGGCGGTCGGCGGGCTGCTGGGGGTGGGGTCGTGCTCCAGCCTGGCGGGGGTGGGGGTGGGCCCGGGGGCGGGCAGCGTGCCCGGCAGTGTCCACGGCTCGCAGACGTGCCTCCCGGACCCGCCGCCCCCGCCCAAAGGCCAGCCGCCCGGGCCGCCGGGGCAGATGTGCAACAGCCTGGGGCCTCTGGGGCTGGGCAACAGCCTGGGCATCCTGCGGTCGCAGGGGTGCCCGTCGACGCCCGGCTCCACCAAGAAGAGGGTCCACATCCAGGAGATCTCAGTCTGAAGCGCGGCCGTCGGTCGACACGAAGCAGTTAGTGATGGTGTTTGTGATAGGCGAAGTCACGGCAGTGGTCCTTCCCCACGCCGCGGCTCGCCACCGCCACAGTAAACTGGTAAACTCGTACTCTGTGGCCTCCAAGGGCTCGCACAGCCCCTGGTCTTGGTCGCGAGTCCAGAATAGTCTGACAAGGAGCGTCTCTCCGAGGAGGTTCGGTTCGTTGGCTGCTCACTGCCGAGAGGACTTGACTCGATAGGTCACGGCGAACGAGCCACCTCCAGGTTGCCAACGCGCAAAGGAGGAAGGGACATTCTCCAGATCAGTTTGCTCATGAAAAAGACATTATTCCTCTAAAGTGTACTGTATTTATTAGTTTTTATTTTTGGAGAGTGTTATGAACAAAATTCATAAATAAGTGTGCAAAACCAAATAATACTGCCTAAAAGGATATAATGAATCATCTGATATGGGCACAATTGGAAAGAATTTTACAAAGGACATTTTGTGGTTGTTGAGCAAACTCTGGCTGTTAGCTGGGAGTGCTGCTTACAGCTTTGAGTGAATTGAATTTTATTGTGACTGGTACATTTCCTATAGCAAATTTTATCTTTCCCATATGGCATTTCAAGATGCTTTCAAAAATTGTAACCACAACTAGCTCTAATTCTTGTTTTATGACACTTTTAGATAGATAGTGCAAAAGAACAGGCCAATAAACACACAAATTGAAAATTCAAGAATGAGCCATTGAAAAACTAAAGTTTTCACCAGGTCCCTCATATGACATGTATATAGTTTTACATCATATTTTTCAGAACATTTCCAATTTTTTGTATGAACGTGCCAAAATACTATTAGATTTTAGTTTTGTTGATTTTCTGTTCTGACCGAATCAGTTCAGTTTTAAATGATTTGTTGAAAAATGAAATTGCTTGTTCTTCAGAGTGTTAAGAAGCCAATGAGTTGTATGAGTTATAATAAAGAAAGTGGGAGGTGTTGCGTAATCAACTCATTGCCTGTGACATGATCACCATGTGGTCAGTACCATCATCGAAACATTCCTCACATGTAATGTGTGAAAATAAAATTTGGCTCAACCGCTGACTCTCCGACAAACCACTCTGTAATGACTTGGAAAATGGCATCTTGATTACAGGTTTAACAGTTTCCCCCACTCCCAAATAATAATAAAAAAACATGGATATTTTGGTTTTTTGGTGCATCCTCTGTAGATTTCAACCACCTCACATTCGACCTGCTCAGTAGAAGTGTTGTGTATAAATATTGAATCAAAAGATTCAATAATCACATTTGAGAGAACAACAACTCAACCAGCGCTACAAGAAAAAAAAAACAAGAAAAAAAAGAAAAAAGAAACACTAAACATTGCGTTAATTATTTCGACATCCTCGGTGAAGACGACCAAGACAAGATTTCAATAACTTCAGAGTTTAGGGGACGGGAAGGACTGTCAAAAAGTACAGTGAATCCCATACAATAACGGCTGTTTGAAAATTGATGGGACTCGTGCTGTAATTTCATTCCGACAGTGAACAGTGACCTCTTGCGAAGCTATTCATTCAGGAAAGGACAGAGGTAAATTTGGAGCCACGAGTGGCATTGTAAACCTAGCACGCCGAGTACTCTGCCATGCAGGGCAATGCAGGGTCGCGCTGCCCAGAGGGACGCTCCAAAGGCACGGGGACAACGCCCGCCACCGGCAGCACCGCCGGCGGCAAACAGTTGTACTGATTAGTAGTCACTATTGTTTTCGGCGGCGCCGAGTGCGGAGGGGCGGGGCGGGGGAGCGGCTGGCCGGGGGAGGGGAGGGGAGGGGAGCGGCACGTCTGGCCGTAGCCTGCCGTGGCCAGGGCGAGGGGCGACTGAGTCGTGACCTGGCGGGCGGGACAGGCGGGATTCACCCACACTACTCGTCGTCGCGCCGCGCGGTGCACACCTCGCCCTCCGCCATGGATATCGACGTGAGTGTCGAGCCTCGTCCAGCATCCTGCGTCTCCTGCGTCTCCGGCGTGGAGAGGCCGCCTCGGCCCGCCAGTGCCGCCACTGAGGGCACTCCTCGTTGCAGATGGACAAGTACCACGCCGAGCTGTACCGGCGGCAGCGGCGGGTGAAGCAGGGCCGCGAGGCCCGCCGCGACGCCGGCGTGTACGACGCGCTGCCCTCCGTGCCCGCGCTGTTCCGCCACAAGGACGTCCTCATCACGGGCGCCTCGGGCTTCCTGGGCCGCGTGCTCGTCGAGAAGCTGCTGCGCTGCTGCCCCGACCTGGGCACCGTGTACATGCTGCTGCGGCCCAAGAAGGGCGTGGCGCCCGCGGACCGCGTCAACGCCATCGTCGACGTGCCGGTCAGTCCGCCGCGGCCACCTAATCCCGGACGCGTTTTCAGCTCCAGAGTCGCTTCACGGGACTCGAAACGAACGCGTGAACCCAAGATGCCTCAGAAGTCCGGATGCTGCAAGCGGGTGCTGGCCATGGCCATGGCCTCCCCGGTCCAGAACGCCTGCCAGCAGCCGCTGGGCCACATGCCGTGCTCGCCCGTGCGGCGGGCTGGCCTACCCTCAGCTTGGCAGGGGCTCTGACTCCAGCCTTCCCCCGGTGTCTCCCCCAACAGTGTATCCACCTACAGTGTCTCCCCCTACAGTGTATGCACTACAGTGCCTCCCCTACAGTGTGGCCCTGCTTGCTTGCAGCTGTTCGAGCAGGTGCGTCGAGAGCACCCCGCGGCGCTGGGCAAGCTGGTGCCGGTGGCGGGCGACTGCTCCGAGCTGGGCCTGGGCCTGAGCGCCGAGGACCGCGGCCTGCTGCAGCGCCGCGTCGCCTTCGTGTTCCACGGCGCGGCGTCCGTGCGCTTCGACGACCCGCTGCAGAAGGCCGTGCTGCTCAACACGCGCGGCTCCAGGGAGCTGGTGGAGCTGTGCCGCGGCATGGAGCGGCTCGAGGTGAGGATCTTCACAGTGTCGCACGCGTCGCGCAAGGGCGTGCATAGCACTGTACGCTTCGCGAACGGCGCAGTTTGTGTTACGCGTCGGTTCCACCAGTGCAGTGACTGAGTGACGGCCGCGGCTGGGTCGCGGGGTCACCGCCTGTCACCCGGCCGCCCGCCGCCGCCCGCCGCCGCCCGCTAGGAACTCGCACGGACGTTCCGCGTCAAACAATCCGGCCCTAAACGTGGCGTATTTTCTTAGAACCGGTCTCATTCGTTGTTTCAAGAGTAGCAAATAACAAACACATGTTTTCGGAAAAAAAATTATATTAAAAACTTTGGTAGTAAATTTTGAAAGTTTGAAATTCTTTATTTGAAATGAAATGAATGTCAGTTTGTGCTGAATAAACACACTTGAATATCGAACTGATGGAGTGCCGTCTCGGCCAGGCTCTTGTCCACGTCTCCACGGCGTACACCAACTCCAACCAGTGGCCCATCGAGGAGAGGCTGTACCCGACGGAGCTGGACTGGAGGGACGCCATCCACATCGCGTCCAACCCCTCCATCGCCGGAGTCTTGGACAAACTCGGGCACAAGTAAGACTGGTGTTGGTGCCACCCTCGAGTGCCAGCTCCGGGGCAGAGTCCTACAGTGGTGACACCTGAGGTTTTCTGCCACAGGTTTTTGGGCTTCCACCCCAACACGTACACCTTCAGCAAGGCCCTGTCCGAGCAGGTCATGGGGGAGGCGGCCGCCTCCTTGCCCGTCATCATCGTCAGACCGGCGATCGGTGAGTGGTACACTGGCGTTGCACAGTGGCGTTGCCTACCGAAGAACCAAAGCAATCGACAAGCAACGGCAGGAACCAGTTTGCGTGCCGCCTAGCGGCCTCGCTGTGCACTTGGTACAGACCTTGTGACCAATGGGCGTTCTGCTTTTGACGATGCAACGTTTACAATGCAGTGGTCGGCGCGGTGAACGAGCCGCTGGCAGGATGGCTGGACAACGTCAACAGCCCGGCGGCCATGTGGATGGCCGTGAACAAGGGCGTGCTGCGGGCCTGCGAGCTGTACCATCCAGACTCCCTGCAGGACTACGTGCCCGTCGACTTGGTGACCAAGGCCACCATCCTGGCGGCGTGGGCCAGGGCCACCGAGCAGGACCTCGACACTGGGTACGTCGAGGACAGTTTCAACCTGTCGGTTCTGGGTCGCTGGTGGTGAACTCGGCGGTAACTGGGTCCTCGCTCGCCTCAGCGACGGCGCCGTCCCCGTGGTGAACGTGGCCATCACCGACGTGCACCCCGTGACGGGCAAGATGATGCTCGACATCTTCAGAGGCAGCGGCAGACAGGACGCGCCCTACAGCAACGCCATCCGCTACCCTTGTCTCTTCACCTACCGGATCCCCTTCGTCATCCAGATCTACAACTTCTTCTACCACCTCCTGTTCGGCGCAACCGTGGACCTCGTGCTCAGGCTGGCCAATCAGAAACCGATGTGAGTTCCAGCCTCCCTTGCGGCAGGCAGCACAGCAGCAGGTGGCAGCCCCTGCGGCGTCACATTCGCTGGACTCAGCCAAACGTCTGTTTTTTTTTTTTCAGGCTCATGAAGGTGTATCGGAGAATCGAGCTTACCACCAGAGCTTTGTCTCCTTTTACGCGGCGGCATTTTAAATTTGACACTCACAAATTTTGGAAACTCCAGTTGGTAATGCATCCCGATGACGAAGTTAGATTCGACTATGGCATCGACAAATTTCACCCTGTCGTCGACGGCGCGAATCAGGTTGAGGGAATCCTGAGGTACGCCTTGGGAGAGGAGTTCGACCGGGAAAAAGGCCTTCGTCACATCAACAGGTAGGAAATGGAAAGGACAGTCACGTTGCCTAACCAGGGATCTAGGCGACCCTTTCCGCCGGGCTAGCTGCTTCCTGGCTGTCTTCATTTCTTTAGGCGGAATCAATTGTAATATACCTGGATTTTTTTTCCAGATTGTTTTGGCTTGAGGCGGCGTTCTATGGTTTACTGGTTGCAGTTCTGCTGTATTACTTCCAGCCATTTTCACATCTATGGTAATAAGGAAGGATTGAATGTAAGAAGAACTATGTCACGGCGAGGCCTTATATAGGTTGAGTCTGTAAGGAGTAAAAGTCAAGTGAAATGGACTATTGGATTCTATGTTTTCTTGAGTGCCCAGCCGGGTGTTGGAAACGACATCGGTTCCACGTAGAATCGATTCGACGTCGTTTCGAACACCGAAGGGAGCCGACGGCGGGAACTCTTTTGCATCTTAGAGGGGAAAGCTAGCCCTTAGACAGAGCTGCGCCACCAAGGTAGGCCACCCTTTTTACACGCCGACCGACCCATTGTGGGATCACCTTAAGGCTCGCTCAATAATGACCACCAGATAAGTGCATATGGTAAAAGTAAATTTATTGCTCTTTTCGTAAATCGGATAGACACATACACAAACACACCCTTTATTCTTCGCCATGATTGAGCACATCTCATTAAATTAAAATAAAAGGCGAGGCTGACAAGATGAAAATCATAGCAAAGAATAATAAAGTGACATTGCCCTAATACCAAACACCCAAAACATCTGCTGCACAAAAAACCCCACACATTGCTAGCAGAAAAGAACAGAAAATTATAAGTTTAATCACGTATACACAAAATAGAAAGAAAAAGATGGTTTCAACATTTTTTGATAAAGGATTTGCTGAGATCAAATAACATTTATAAGGATTCAAGCTTAATTTAGGTTTCACATGGTAAAGGGGGATGGTCAAGAATCCCTGCAAAAAAAAAAGAGAAAGTGGCAGTGGCTCTGCTTTGACATAAATTATTCTCCAAATTCATAAAAAGTGAGAAAAATGCAAATAAATGCACTCAATAGATTCACAGAATAGATGCAAAATCAGGAAATGAAATTCGACTGCAAAGATATTTTCCACAGATTGGTGTTTTGCTTAAGTACAAACTTCTTCAATACAGCATTACAAGTTATAATACAATATTATCACCAGATGAACTAAACTTAAATTTTGAATCAGTCCTGGTTGCCTACCCACCAAAGTTAACAGGTTTCTACAGTCAACCTTTCTAAAGAGTAGCCCTGAGCAGGCCATTGACCGTACAACATCAAAAAGATGACAAACTAAATTTAAGTACAGTATCCATATTTAAAAACAAACATCCCAATCAATAAAAATACCAGGAATGAAAAACTGAATAATGTACATATAAGAAGGCTTCAGATGACTCAGTAAAACAAATTAATGATGCTGTGACACAAATTGTTCGATAGTTTCTGAGAGAAATGTGCTTCCAATCTCAAAAGAAACAAAGTTCAGAGTTCAAATTTTTTACCAAGAAATTAAGTATAAAAATTATTACAAAGATAAAATATCACAACTCATTCCACAAGAAATCAAAACAATAAAGACCCTCCTTATCAAAACAGCAATGATGACTCACAGGGACAAGAAAAAAACAGCATGTAATTTATTTTAAACATGTAAAAACAAATCATAAACAGAATTTAACAGCCAACAAAATGAAAATAGAAAAGCCCCCTCGTAACCAATCCAATTGAATGACTGAATGTCTTAAACCCATGTATAACCAACACACTTGATTGCATAGTGAGAAATTAATTTACACTAACTCTGTTTCAATGAATTCATGCATGACAAAATGATTTTGACAAGTTTTCCTTTCACCGGAACAAAGAAAGGGTAAAAAGAAAATTTGACAAGAGATGGGCGACGAGGTGATCAAGGAAACTGCCCACATGAGCAAAAATGAACAAGAGCCTAGTTTTTTTTCTTCAAAACATGTGCTTCCTGGTGATGCAAAATCTTCCAGACGTTATACAAGAAAAAGTAAACATAGAAGATTAAAAAATATGCATTGGTTTCATAGAGTCACTCGACTACAAGTTCTATTTCAAGAATATTCACCATATTACAGTAGATATCACTATCTTCTTAACCATTCATCATAGTTAAGCATCTGCACTAGACTAAACTAAATTTAACATTCATTTGGTGTTTGATAAAGTCAGATATAAACCTCGATAAGGAACAAAAATATCACACCTTCAGTCCTTCCCCATTCTCACTACTGTCCTTGTCTTTCTCTGTATTACTTACATTTATGGTGTTGTTATTATACTGTTTTAAATAGGCAGCATACATGAGACGAGCTTGGTTTAAAACTCGAGTAACATCATGCTTGCGTACCATTTTGTCAAAGTGCATTGCCACTTCATTATAATCCATATTATTACGCATGATAAACTCTCGATGTTGCCGTAAAACCGTGAGACAGAGGAACATGAGAAATGGATTGCCACCACCAAAAACGGCGGGTGGTGGAAGTCTCGTTGAATAGTTGCCTGTAGGCAATGGGCGAGCACTACTGAGATCAATTGCTTCTTCACAATTGGTATTTGACGTAACCATGACCGCAGGATCAATAGAGCAATTTTCATCAACAAAACTTTTCTGTTGGTGAGCAGCACTACTTGAAGCAGCTCCAGTTTGATGGATGTCTGTATGTGTTTCTTCAGTTCCCATACTTTCTTTGGGAGTTCTATGAAAGTGGTTGGGAGATGACAGCTTTAGGCTATGAGGCCACTCATTGTCTTGGTCCAAGTCTACTTGCTCGTCAGGGGTTATGGGACTGGACTTAATAGGATTCTCCCAAATAAAAACATCATCTGTTCCATAGTTCGACCGAGTAGGAACTTTGAGCTCCTCTTTGCGGTGGTTCAATGATGCATCACTCTCTGTGTCCAAGTGAGTGGATCCACTACAGGCAGATTCTGTGTCTTCAGTGTCATCTGACAGTAAATTTTTTCTTGGGTTTGAGCCAAATACATGTCTGTCTAAACTGTCCAGTTCAATGCGCAGCTCCTGAGTCATAGAGGTAGTCATGGGAAAATACTCTGAATCATCTGGAGAACTGTCCTCACTTGTACTTCTGTCGTAAGTAGATGTAGAGTTACTTTCCACACTATCAAAGTTTCTTTGTTCACCATTTTTGAATGAGGACAAATCTGGGTTAGAGTCAAATACAGCATCATCAACACTTCCAAAACGCTCTTGTTTCCCCAAATTTGATTTATTCTTTTTGGGGCTCAATGAGTTGTTTCTCTTCAAATTGGAGAAGTTTAAAAACTCATTGAGGTTCTTCACGACACGAGTGTTCTCCTCTTTTTTGTTTTGAGATTCTTCTTGAATGGAATCGTGGTGCCTATCTAGCTTTTCTAAAGAAAGAAGTAAATTCTTGCAGCGACCAGACTGGAATTTTTCTTTTAAATGAGAACGAACACCACTGCGAGGAGAGCTGTCTTTTTCTGATGAAGGACGAAGTGAACGAGAGCTCCGATGATTGTTAGCATCTCTGTACTGCTCCAACTTGCTTTCAACATCAGCCTCTGAAGATGATGAAGGTAGTGCACCTCTTCCCAATGAGGAATCATCCAAACTAGCAAAAGGCTTGACTTTGACCCTTTGCAGCCTCCCTTTGACTGTGCCTGTTTCATCGAGACTTTGGTTTTGTCTTTGAACTGAAACATTGTGTTGAGGTCTGCTCCGAGGCATTAGTGATGCTCCTGATCCTTGTCTTCTCAGTGCACATACCTATACACCCAGAAAAGTTTATATTGAAATGAATTGTACCAGGAGAATTGATTTGAAAGATAAAAGGCCAAGTTACCTTAGTGTATGCATTTTCCCTGGGCGACTTCAACAATGGGCTGATAGGTGGTGGGGTGATCCCAGAGGGTGGAGCCAAAAATTGTACATCAAACAGTGGCAATTCTTTACTGTGGTAGCTTGGAATTGGCGGCAGAGAACTCCACATGACTTCCATCATTCTCAAAGCATCATCAAAGGCAAACTCTCGCTTCATTTCTAAAAGTAGCCAGCGGTAACAAAATAACAGATCATCAGCCTAAAAAAGAGACAACAACAGTGAATTATGTTTTAAAAATAACTATATGTTAAAATATTTGGTGACACATGGGGAAATTTCTTTTACCTGATGACTTTTGAGGTAGGAGTAGAACTCAGGGTCATAAAAAAGCAAACCATCAGTTAGGTGCTGAAAACGCAATGTCATAGCCTCTCCATCCAGCATAAAGTTTGGGCGCAATCGGCTCATGAGAGCACAAAAACAAATATAAGCATGTGCTTCATCCCCCATAGTGACTAATAATGGAGATGCAAGATCACTCATTCCTTGGCAATAGCTAACAGTTGGATGATTTAAAGCATATCTGAAAAAAAAAAAATACATTCAGAAGAAAATACCAGTAGGATGACAAAGAGGAGAGAAGTAAAGCTTACGTTGTCAATATGTTGAAAAGAGATGCTATATTCTGGTTATCGTCACTCCCGGCATAGAAGGGGTGGTGCCGATCAGTCCTCAAAACATCTTTACGAACCATAGTAGTTACATAACTCAAATCATGAGTCAGCTGAAGGATTGAATGTACAATGGCAAAAGATTTAGAGTGGGAGGGTAAAATATAAAACATTCAAACATTGTTCTTGGCAGCACACCTGATTTTTTTGTATCAGCTCTTTCCAGTACTCCCGAAGAGAATAATATTCCTGAGCTTTCATCTTCATGTAATCCATACGAGCTTTCCCAGACATTCCATCAGGATAAACATTCAAAATGTGTTTCCATACAACTTTTCTGAAACATTGAAAAAGAAAAAAAAAACTTGTAATTTCCCCTTGCTTTTTTTCTTTTAAAGTTTCTTTGTTACTTTTTGATATGAACCTTAAGCTGGGTTCAATGCCTCCGTAGTAGATTACTCTTCTCAACTCTCTGTCCTGAACAACCTGACCAATGGGATCCAGAAACATACGGAACTGAGCATCAGTGAGAGGAGGTTTCGGGGGCACAGCAGTGGATGGTGTAGACTGAGACTCTTCTCCTAGAAGAGCTCTTTGCACCAAACTAAATGTTTTTTCCACCTGAAAAAAAAAAGAATATCATATGAATCTAGTGTATCAAATCAAGCATCTAGATTTCATGTGTCTGATAGATATGTATTCATGTACCTGATTCAGAATTAGACCTGGTAGACGATGCTGCATTTTAGCTACACTGCCTTGGGAATGTTGATGACTTTGTTGTGAGTGTTGTAAAATAGGACGATTGGATTGGCTTCCTCCGCCCTGGAATTGCTGCATTTGTAACTGTGGCAGGCGAAGCGCCTCCAGACCTCGAATTGAAGGCATGATATCAACATCAGTTTGAGAAGCCTCATCCCATTCTTCTACATTTTCTTGAACTGACTTAACTTCAATTTGTAGTCCCAGACATGGTTCTGAAGCACTGTTGAACAAAATTGTTGTTTTTCACTTAAAAAAAAAAAAAAAAACATGGGCTCTTTTATGTTCTTATCCAAAAGTATAAAATGGACTTACCTAAGAAATGCTGCATCTAAATCCCAATCTGAGAGGAGAGAAAGATATGTCTCTTGACCATAATCATCAATAGCTCTATAAGCCACAGTGAATTCTCTGAAAATATAGAATTATGAGTAACTTTATAATAATTGCTGAGTATCATAATGAAGGAAAAAATATGTCATACCCCTTAAGATCAAATGCTTTGGCAATAATACTCTGTAGGACTTCGAATGATGTAATTTGAGGATCCACGCTAAATTTACGATATTCTGGCTGAAGCATGGCGCCACATTTCTGCAAACGGGACACATAACAAGTTACAAAGAAACTGCAGAAAATATGTAGAAGACAAAATAAATAGCCAGTCAATCTTCAAGATTGTGCCAAATAGTTAATTTTGTTGACACCCACAGTCTGACACCCACCCACGACACAAGAGATTTGTAGTCCAATCGATACGAATACAAGTATGTACATAATTACGCTACAGAAGACATAAAACACTAAGCTAATGCAATGAAATGAACAGTTATCCTAGGGCATACTCAAATAAAAGCATAAATGATCATTGATCAAAATCTTATTAAGTTTCCCGTTTGATAATATTAACAGCTTTAATACATAAACAAGGCATGTCTATCGTTTAATCAGTTATCATTTTGAAATGAATATAAAATAAACACCATATGCAACTAACCTGCACTTTGACACGTACAGCCTCTCGGCTGTACCCAAATACGCCCGACATGATTATTTAATGTGAGAAGCAGCTATCTTTACATAAAAGGCAAGTGGCAAACATGTGTGATACAAACAATTTGCACATTTTCAAGATAATCAGGGCACTATTTGATTTTCCGATATTTCTCTACAAAACCGTCTGCTTTTTCTTTTGCCTTGGCTCACAGGATAAACGGGTTTCGCCGTTATATTGCTATTGCTATTAGACCGGGGAAGACCACCAGGGGGAGCCACCGCCCCCGCTGTTGTTGTTGTTCCATCCCCCCTCCACTTCCACTTCGTCATATCATCTTAAGCGATCTGTTGTTGTCAGTCGACTCGACTGTCGCTTCTTTTGCGTGATTACTGCTCCTGCTTCTCCTTGAGGCTGTCCTCATGTTTCCATTGTGGTGACCGTGACTCTTCTGGAGCTTCTCATCGGGTTGACACAATGCTCATATCGGTTCCCAGGTTGGGATTCCTCTTTTTCCTGACCTATGCCTTTGGTGTGGGTTACTTTGTGTCTTCTGCTCCTGCTGCTTCGGGTGTCGTTCCAGTCATTCTTAGTGAGTTTCACCATATTCGTCCAATGGCGTTGAAAGTTGCTTTTGACTCAGAATGCCTGTTTTTAATTCAAAGAACTTCCACTTGTCACACATTTATTGGTCTTTGTTTGTTTTGACTGGTAGTTCCAGGGGATGGAGGCAGCCAATTAGAAGCCAAACTGTCAAAGTCACAGGTCGTGCATTATGTGTGTGGCAAGAACACGAATGACTTCTTTAATATTTGGTTGAATTTAGAGCTTCTTGTGCCAATTGTCATTGATTGCTGGGTACGTATTACGGATATGATTTCAGGGTGGCAGATTTTCTGCTGCTGTCATGCCTCTTGACCTTTGATCTAATTTATTCACCATTATCTGCCCCCAAGGTTGACAACATCAAACTGGTGTACAATGCCACAACCAGGAAAACAGAAACTCCACCAGGTGTTGTTACAAGAGTACCTGGATTTGGCAATTCATCGGTGGTGGAATGGTTGGACCCAAGTGAAGCCTCTCCTGGAGCTTACTTCAAAGACATTGGAAACATGCTAGTTGGAAAAGGCCACAACAGAAATTCATCTTTACGAGGTGCACCTTATGATTTCCGACGTGCTCCTAGTAAGTTTTGAACATCCAAAACTCTTACTCCTCACAAATTTAAGAGAAGAATGAGTGTGTTATATTTCTGGTTTCTTTCCTCTGTTTAGATGAACATCAAGAATTTTTCATTGCTTTCAAGTCTCTAGTTGAGGAAACTTACAGCATAAATGGAAATGTGCCTGTCCTCTTGATTGCTCACAGCATGGGTGGGCCTTTGACTTTAGTGTTCCTCCAGCAGCAGACCCAGGCATGGAAGAATAAGTACATTCGAGCTCTTGTCACTCTGAGTGGGGCTTGGGGTGGGTCTGTGAAGGCTCTCAAAGTTTTTGCTGTAGGTGAGGACCTTTACTATGAATTTTTCACACATTTCAAAATCTGCCTCCTATACTTTTCATTTTGTGGTAAGTCACATGACATATGCAAACACCAATATTTTACAGGAGATGATTTGGGATCATATGTGCTACGTCAAAGTATTCTCCGAGAGATGCAAATTACTTCTCCAAGTTTGTCATGGTTATTGCCTTCATCAATTTTCTGGAAAACAACTGAGGTGCTGGTACAGAGTGGAACCCGGAACTACACCTTAAATGATCTGAAGGACTATTTTGAGTAAGTATAATCAATAAGCTATCACATCAGAATATGACTGCAGGCTCTGTTGAGCTTCTTAATGTTTTTCTATGGCATGTTTTTCAGTGACATAAATTATCCTACAGGCTGGGAAATGCGTAAGGATGTGGAACAGTTCTCACTTAATTTCTCTCCTCCCGGTGTGGAGGTACATTGCTTGCATGGCTATGGTGTGGACACTGTTGACAGGTCGGTAAAATGAGACTTTATCCTGTACTCCAAAACACTCTTAAGTGCTGTCACTGATAATAAGTCTGACTTTGTTTCCAGCATGATTTTCAAACCTGGCAAATTCCCTGATGGGTATCCAAGTTTTGTGTATGGCGATGGAGATGGTACTGTCAACAAGAGAAGTTTAGAGGGGTGTGTGCATTGGATTGGACATCAAAAGCAGAAAGTTTATCATCAAACTTTCCCTAAAGTAAGCCCATAATGTTAAAAGTTAAAATGATGCTCTATTTTTATGCAGTAAAAAATGACATTTTTCTTCAATTTCTAGGTAGATCATATGCAAATCTTGACGGATGCTAATGTCCTTGACTACATCCAGCAGCTTGTCACCCGTAAGCTGAAATAATTTTTCTAATGTGCTCAAACAATTCTAAAATTTTAAATAAAATATAAGTACGCCTGATACTGGAGATATAGACTGGTAAACTGGGTATATAATTTTACTGTCAAGTCTACTGTGTCACTATTTTGGTAAACTTCTCTATTTTTGTTCTTTTGAAACTAGGCTTGTTTGTCATGTCAAAAAATGCAGAAGTTGCTCTCTTGTTAAGAAACCCTATTTAAAATAAAATATTCACACATATTCATGTATCTCTATCAACCAAAGAACAGGGACTTTTGCAGAGTATTATAAGATATGCATTGGTATTAATAGGCTTTGTCAAATTGAGGAGAACAATATGTTTTGGTGAGGTGGGGAGGCAGGGAGTCTATTGCTTTCTGGAAAGTAGGGCCCTGCCCCCCACTTCACCTCTCCCTCAACCATACTGTAATCTTTTAATTGTTAGTCAGTTAATTTCCTTAACTTGATTCAAAAATAAATTATTACCCACTGAATGCGTTGGTTACAAATGACTTATCAACTGTGCATCTTGCAGTGAAATGCTTTTCGTATGGTACATTTTTAATGTGCTGGTAGTATATTGTATTATTTTTTGCAGTTTACTAGAAAAACAATCCTATTGTAACTTTATTGAAAATCTGTGATATACATCCTCTCAGGAACTTTTGTCCTGCGAAATCACTTCAACTTTTGAAGTCCTGTAGAAGAAGAAACTCTTTGGTTCTCGAGTTCCTGAATTTTTTATGTGAATGTTTCACTGTGAAATTATATAAATATATATACTAATATTTATTTGTTGTCTATTGACATTTTGTTTTACCCACACTCCTACCTACTCCTACCTGTCCTGTCAGGGAAGTCTGAACCTACTGATTTTTGCGAAAGTCGGAAATGCATGTTCTGAACCTAAACAGGTTTTGATATGCTCTGAGAAAAAGTTGAGTTAAGTTTAAAGGAAAAGGAGCATCCGAACATCAGTGAGAGGACTTTAAGCACAGTTCCTCACACCACAGCCTCCCTAGCCCGCCTTTGGCTTTGAGCCCAAGCTCTTGCTTCTGGATGCTTGATTTTTCATACAGGCTCCATTGTAGCCTCGTGCAGTTCCACCCTTTTTTTTTGTTGTGTTCTGCCAGATATAAACATGACGTCATGTCGATCGTTGTAGTCGTCTGCACTGCATTTTGATGAGTTGAGGTGCTTTGTTTCTCTGAGGAAACGACTGTGTTAGTTTATCGTCCGCCCAGATAAAGCTCTGCTCTGTCTCTGCTCAGTGTCGGTTTCGATTTTCGAACGACGTGACAGTGACAATGGCTCCTGAACTGAAAATGGCTCCTTTGCGGAGACTCGACGACTTCCTCTTGAATTCTGCCCGTTATCAACTTCCTAACTTTTCGGACATTGATAAATGGGGAAACAGAGTCACTAACAACTTTTTGTATTACCAAACAAATTACTTCCTCTTGGCGATCATGATTTTCCTGCTAGTCGCGTAAGTACCTAATTTATGGCATGAAAGTGAATTTTCATCACCTGCTTGGTTACTTTCCTTTCGAATGAAACTGACTCAAATTAATTCTCTCATGTTTCTCTCTTTTTCAGAGTCATTCATCCCATTGAAATGTTAAGCGGTATGACTGCAATGGTGCTAGCATTTGGTTTATTCTATTACTTCACCAATGCAAAGCCTGAGGCTGATCGCTTCAAAAAGGAACATCCCCTCTTAAGTGTTGGTCTGATGCTGACTGTTGGCTACTTCTTTGTGTATGTAATTGGCGGAGTCATGGTTTTTGTTTTTGGAACATTGCTTCCTATTTTTGGTAAGAAATTACTGCATTTTCCTCAACCAGTTTTAAAATGTCAGTTTTTCTTCTAATTTACTTTTGTGTTTTTCCAGTGGCTTTCATCCATGCTTCATTACGCATGAGAACAATCAAAAACAAGATAGTCAACAAAATCGAAGGACTTGACGTATTCCAGAAAACACCCATGGGCTACTTTCTTGATTCCCTCGGTATGATGCCCGATATAATATCTTAAGCTGTCTCTCAAAACAACATTGTTATATTCTGTATTTCTTCTTGCTTTCGTCATTTGTAAAGGTGCGAATTTGTCACTGCGACATCTTGTCAAGTCGAATCAATTTATGATGAATTTAATTATTTGCCATTTAACTACTATTCCTCAGTTTTAAATGCCCATACATCTATGTACATTACTGAGCTTTCAATTTGAGTGAGAACTGTTAATTTAGAAAACTAAGATTTTAACCCTTTGGGGAATAAAGCTAAATTAATACAACGTTTGGTCGGTTCTAAGTCGTAACCAACTTTAAGATTGACCAAAAGTGAAATTTTCTTCACTATCCGATTTTTTACTTGAAATTGGTAAAAAGTATGCGACTTAGAATTGAGTAAATACAGTGGTTTGAGGTAACATTTCTCTTTAGAAATCTTTGATGCCAGCAACTTTATATTTCTTTGTACCTTTCTATTTGCTTTGAAAACCCTAGTTATGCACCTATATGTAAGATAGACTTTATGAGCCAAAAGAGGATATGATGTTTTATGTTTGCACTGAGGGAGATTTTTTTTTTTTTTTTTTTTCTCTAGTGTCAAGCACCATAAAGACAAAAGCAATCACTTTAATTGCATGTATTAAAAGCTGTGTTAATTTTATAGTTTCATTAATATTATTTTTTTCTTTTGTATGTGTTGTGTTTGTCATTTTATGAAGGTTCCAATGAATCACCTGTCTCTCACTCTCCAATAGACTCAGTCTCAGAGCTTTTTTCTATCGTTTCCCATGAATAATTTCCGTGTTTGTTTTGTGCAGTAGAAGAAGCGAATGCAGTAGAAGTCGACTTCGAAACACAACTTATGAGGAAAGCTAAGGGGCTGCTCCAGGATATTGGGAATAAGGAGAAATTAAAGTAAATTGTTGCGCGACATCATTGACGTCAATAATTTTCAAAACACGACTTGTAAAGACTGGGCTGAGCTTTTGTGATACTAGTTAGTCCTTGCCATGTTTCTATCCCCTCTCAGTTTGAATGGCTATCAGCATATAATTATTTATGTAGCATCTTTGATTAATTTTATTGTTTGTGACCTGTAATGACCTAAGATTTTCAGAGCTGTGGTTTATGTTATAGTTATGGTGTTCTAACAATGCTCTGTTAAAAGTTTGATGATGTATGCAAAAAAACAAACTATTTTGTGAACATGAGACATCTGAAAAACAACAAAATCTACTGGGACATTTGTTCAGTGGTGATTCTTCCCTCTTAATTGGTACTTTTCTCTCTTAGACACTAGAACACTTTGTGATAATTTTGACATCTACTGTGAAATGTTAGCACAGAGTATTAGGTTTGTATCTATGTTGTACTTTTATCTAAATGTTACTTTTTTGAACTGCGATATGTAAAATTGGTAAGACAGAGAAACTTTACCAAAAAAAAGTACTAATTTGTAATTTATTATATGTTCTTCCTTTGACTCCATGCATGATATTAAAATAAATAAAAAGGAGAAAAATAACTTTGGATTTTGATGATTTTTATGTCCATTTGAACTAGGTTCTCTCCTCACTGTTGAAAGATAAATTTCAATTTGTAAAATCCCTCACAAAGCTGTTGATGACTTGTGTGGGATTCACGTTTGTTGAGTAGTATTTTCCGTGTTTCTTCCTGTGTAGAAATATGACGTTGTGTGCATTCAAAGGGTTACTCTTCAAAAAATGACAACAACATAAAACAATGTTTGACATCATCGTTTGTAAATTTAGACAAAAAGGATTTCTTCTTCACTTTATAACATGTCAATACAAACAATGTTATGAGCTCTCAATCATGCACATGATAGGGTAAATGAAACAATATTTAGTATATTATTAATATAATAATAATAATAATTCAAAATGGCACCCATGTAAGCAACTACTAACAGGATTGTGGCAAAGAGTGACCATGTACACAAGCCATGGCACTGTGAACTGGTAGCTCATTTTGCACCTTGGAATCCTTATGTAACGTTTTCTTAGCTTCATGATTCTTTGGTCCCTCTTAGGCATTGTTATTATTTACAGTTTGCAATTTATTCATTTACTTCTACCTAGGTGTGGTATCACTCTGTGATTCCAAAAATGCCATTCATTATTAAATTTTATTTTACTAACTACTTAAACACTACTCATTACAAGCACAGTGAGCTGCTTTGGTTCCCTGTTGCCTGGAGGGTCGGGGGTGGGGTCGCCCACTGCTTTTGCCTCGCACCAAATGTACTTCTCTCATTTTGGGAGGAGGGAGTGTACAAGGGACGGCAACATTTAAAGGTTTCCAGACTTTCCGACTCTTAAATACTTCAGCTTAAATGTAATCTCAGCCTGTGTGCATTTGAGAGAGAATCTATGAATCAGATTCAATGAGATAAATCTCAGTTCCTTTCTGCAGCACCATTGAAGAAATGGGAGCCGCAGCTAGTTTGTCGAAAAACGGTGGCCCAATCTTATGTATGCAATTAATGGTTTTTTTTTTTTTAACATCAAAGCAGTGTAAACATTGAACTAAACTGTTTCTTTCCTATGAGGTGCTTTAAGGCATGTGTATACGTCATTTGAAAATGTGGGTTGCATTTATGCATGCCATGAAAGACGTCTTGGGCTCGTGGTCTATTCTAAATCTAAGAACTGGATGTCATTTCCAATTATCTCCCGCTATTTTTTTTTTCCTTTGTCTTTTGTTTAGCTACACTTGTATATCAAAGCTGCCTGAAATATTAATGCACACCCTAATGGCAGGATCAGTCAATGGTTTTCCTTTCAAACTTCTACTAACTGGTACTTTGTACAACGCAGTTAAACTAATGTGTTCCTAAGCTGCTTGAGAATGCGTCCTTTTCTTTCCATCAGACATGTGGCAATATGCTACGTAATACATATGAAAGTCAAATTTACACGAATTTATCAAAAAGATAAACACACTTTCTGTAAAGAAAAAGCAGGACTAGTTCCTCTATCTTACATACAGCTGGTTGCACGGCAAGATTAGCATAGAACGATGATTAAATGCAGAAGCGAAAATACAAGATGTGAGATTACAACTGGAACTCTATGAATCGATTCTAGTCCACCACTTAATGTACAGAAAAGGTTCCTCATACTTTTTATCTATATTTTTTAGCCAGGAAGGATAAAAGATTTAAAAGACATTTACTATTTTGTTTCATTTTGACAGAGATAATTTTTAGTAGAGAAACAGTAAAGAGAGGTTGGCAAAGTAACTCTGAGCATATTTGCACACTTTCATCTGGTTAAAGAGTTGTACTTAGCCAAATAGGACAGAGAATAATAGATATGTATAATTGTAAAAGTTCGATCAAACTGATTAGCTGAAGTGACCACCCGGCCGATTTACTTTTCAACTAATTAATATCTTTCTAGTGGACATCACAAAAGCAACCTGAGAAAATTATGAGTCTATTTCTTCACTAAATCCTTAAAAACTTTGGCTTACTCACACAGCTTTCGCGTCGATCTGCATGCAATTTAATTGTCAGGGTCAAAGTTTATTTTGTTCGACGAAAAAAAAAAGGAAAGTTGGAGCAGCGCTCATTCCTCCACTCTGCTCTTTTAGCGCCTGCGAACTGCAGGGTAGGCAGGCCCGCAGTACTCCTGTCTTCGGCGGGGTGCCTACCCTGTTCGTCGCGGGCGGCGCCTCAGAGCCAGGCCGGGTCGTTCGTTATTCGAATGTGCCATTCCAAACGCAGCATTCAGCGCGTTTATTCAAGCGTTTAAAACAAGCTCCGTAAACGTGAAAGGTAATGAGATCTGGCTTCATCCTGCCGACCTTTGAAAGAGGTGGAATTCACGGAAAGAGAAACTATCTCTACTGTGCGTTAAAAGTTGAAGTAAGGATAATATGGGAACGATAGACAGAGTAAAGAGAAGAAGTCACGAAGAACTTTCTATTGTCATTTACATCGCAATTCGATAAGCGAGGGCTCGTTTAGGGAAAGCTTATTGGCACCACCTGGAATCTACCTGGAATCTACCTGGAATCGGTCAGCCTTTGTGGGTCAATCGTTGGGGTCATTAGTTTGGCGATGGGACGCGGGGCGAGTCTCGGAAAGACTCGGAGGACCGCGAGGGACACTTGGAGCCAGCACGTATTGTTACACTTTCAACCCTGTAAAATTAGGAGAATTGAGCAAAAAAGTAGACAAACATTTTGGACCTGGTAAAGACATAAAATAAGTTTAAATTCGTGTTCTGAATTTGGTCGGCGCGTTGAAAGGGGTGTTGCCAGGGGTTCTGCAGGACGTTTTCGCTCCCAAGTAGGTCCCTTACCAAAAAGAAAAAAAAAGCATTCGAGGGAAAACAAAAAACGATTCATCATTTGGGGGCAGTTTCGAGGATTGGCTAGAAGGAGGCATTCCATAACTATTACCTATTCGCCCGCCTTTGCCTCGGCTTGACTCGGTAAATCACAGACAACGCATATGGAAGAGGGGCTCCCCTCTGTACAATGATACACACAAGACAACACCTGGTTGAATGAAAGCATATACCCTAACTTTGTGGCAAATAACTCTATATTAAAAAATTAAACACAAAAAGACGGAACAATGGGTCCTTTCTTTAAGTTCCCCATTATTCGCAAAATGAACAAAAACTAAATATAATACTGTCCATCTAACTGGATGGGGACATTCTTGGAACAATTTACACAGCAGGGCACAGCCCATAACAAACAATCAATTCAATTAACAATCAACTGCAATACCGCCTGCTTGGACGTGTTTCCGAAAAGGAACTTCGTCTGCAGTGATATTGCAGGACTTTCATCGTCTGGCGTGGACGGTGACACGTCGGCCATCCGTCTCGCACACACTGCTAGAAGACGTGTCGAAAAGACCAGCCTCGTCAGGCCCTCCTTCTTCTCACAGTGTGTTCCACGAACGATTTCGAAAGTCATGTCCAGGGTGCGGCACCTTTGGTCCACCCCGTCCAAAAAATAACAACTAAAATACACATTTTAAACGTGAATCGTATCGTAGGTGTATCTTTTCAAATGAATCAATTTAAATTGCATTGAGAAAAGGAAAGATTTACGAATAGGAGACGGACGGGATGTTTACCAGCCGCACGATGGGCATATCTGCTACACTCATGGTGCAGCACGGTCAAAATACTTCACGCTTCAGCGATAAAAGAAAACCAACCAACAAACAAAAACCTCTTTATGAAAAATATAATTGGGGCCAGACCAAACCAATATTTTGGAAAAACTATAATAGGAAATCAAATGAATTTTCGCGTTTAAACGTGAAGTATCTTCCCAGCAGTGTCGTTTCATTCCGAGCTCGGTCTCTGGATGGGCGACCATCAGATCGAAAAACAACAACTACAGCAAAATCAAGAGAGGGAAGCCCGTCTGAGGCACTGCACGGGGTGCAGTTCGTTGAGACGGACCGCCAGCCGGCGCTACTTGTGCGAGCCCTTGTAGGACACGCTGGGCGTGCCGTGCGTGCCGTGCGTGCCGTGCGCGCCGTGGCCGCCGTAGCAGTACTCCGAGTACGTGGAGGGGCCGTCGTTGAAGACGGCGGAGGGCCCCTCCTGCGAGCACACCGAGTCCTCGGGGGTGCGCGAGCCCTCCGCCTCCGTCACCTCCACGTCCGTGTGGTGGCGCGCCGAGCTCCGCATGTGGCGGTGGTGCAGCGCCTGCAACAAGTCAACGCGCCCGGATGCACTCCCATGCTGCACGCTCCGCGTGGCCGTGGTCACAAGGGGGGTGACCGCTGACCGGAAGGTCGTGGGTTCAAAACGCCACGCCGCGGCCTTTTTTTTTTCATTTCATTTTGGAAAGTGCGGGTTCGTTGGGATCTCCGTGAGCCGCCTTGCGCGGCTTCGGCTGGCACGATTCTAGGACAGTCAATCTACCACACAAGCAAAGTTTATTAAGGCATTTACGGGTAAAGAAACTTTTTTTCTGCCTTTTCTAGGAATTCAGAAGCGGATTCAGACTCGTTCCAGCAAGGTGGCAAGGAGGAAGAGGAAGGATTCGGACAGGAGAGAGAAGAGAAGACCCCAAGACGAATATTTAGTTTCACTGTTAGTCTTTTACGCCTCCATTTAGATGATTTGAGCGCCATTCTGAGGTTATTTTGCGAAAGGCGTTTTGCCCGAGCACTGAAAATGCACCCGCGCGAGGCCCACACCCTGCAAGCAACCTGCAAGCAGGCGATGCAGACTCCCACAGGCTCGACGCGCCGAACCCTGCTGGCAGCGCCCAGAACCACTGTCGTCCCGACAACTTATCTTTTCAGGCCATGGGCCATCTTATTTAAAGAGTTTTAATAAACACCAAAGTCTTAATTAAAATCACCGACGTTTAGGTTTGTTTTAGGACACAAGTGTCCGTGTGACGTGTCAGTTTCTGTGTCCATTTAGGTGGGCCAGTGAACCCACACACTGTTTTTACATGTTTGCATTCAGTAAAGTTTTAGGTTTTTAAAAAACATTGTCGTATTGTGTGTTAGTTGAGATTTAGCTTGTTTCTTATCGTTTTATAATTGAATAAAAATTTTGATTTATATGGTGAGATTTTGAAATTCCAAGCCAGAAATTCCCCAAGCAGTAGCAGCAGCAGCAGTGGCACAAAATAACAGGCAGCAAATGCAAAACTCCAAACAAAAGTGCAAACAAAAAACAGGTTGAAAAGAAATTGCATTGAGAAAGCTGCAAATGGTGGCGCGCCCGCGGCCTCACAGGTTGAGACCCAAGGCCAGTGAGTTGCAAACGGTGCAGTCGGTGCGCTCCACAAGACAAAAACAACAAAAAACAAACAACTAGCAAACTGTGTCACTCCGGCTACGAAAAAAGGAAGAAAGCCCGACCACCGCATTGCCATAAAAAATCACGATCTTCCGATTTTGACAAAATATGAACAAGTGGTTCTTGGTGCCGCTCAGTGGAGACACCTCGGAAGATGCGGTGGCGGGTCGACAACACAACGGAAAGCTCCGTAAGCATGCCGAAAGCGAAAAGCGCGCCGTGCGTGCGTCGGCAGCGCTCGGAAGCGCTCGAAAGCGCTCGAAAGCGCTCTCGCTCCGCGCCGCTCCGCGACTCACCTTCTCCCTGCTCCCCCTCTTCTGCGGCGCGCCCGGCGTGCGGAATAGAAACAGTGCGTAAGTTGGCAATCCGTAAGCGCCTTCTGAGGCCCTCGGGGCGGCACTGCCCGCCACTGCCTCCAGTGTGTCGTTTGTCTTCGCAATCACAGAACGTGTTCCTCCAAAATTAGCAAAAACTTGGACAACAAAGGAAACCAAAAATCGGTTTTGCGCAAGTGGCCTGCGGAGTGTCTCCCGCTGTGGTGGTGTGGTGTCGGTGCGCACAGTGTAGTACCCTCGTCTGCGGCCCTCTGCCCCCCGGGCCCCGACTCTCCGGCTAACCAGAGCGCCGGAGCGTGAGCCAAGGCGTGAGCCAAGGCGTGAGCCAAGGCGTGAGCCAAGGCGTGAGCCAAGGCGTGAGCCAAGGCGTGAGCCAAGGCGTGAGCCAAGGCGTGAGCCAAGGCGTGAGCCAAGGCGTGAGCCAAGGCGTGAGCCAAGGCGTGAGCCAAGGCCTAGGGGCCTCGCCGCCCCAGCGTTGACGCTGTGCCACTACGCGGTTACCTGGAGCGAGAATCTTCTGTGCGCCACCTTCCTGCCGCCGCGGCGCTTCGAGATGTGGGGGTTGTTGTGCCTCATGTTCTTGTTGCGGAGGATCTCGAGCTGCGTGTAGAGGCGCTTCAGCTCGGCCTGTCACAATTGGATATGAGACAAGTTTCGAAACGAAAAGTTTTTCAGACGACGACATGAGAGCAGCGCGCTTCGCTACACGTGCGGACCTACCCGGATGTCGTCCGGGTTCATGTCCTTGAGGGTGACCTCCGTCACGTCCACGTCGCTGGAGTGGAACCCCGTGGCGGTGGCCGCCCCCGCACCGTCGGCGGGCTTGCTCAGGTTGTCCAGTGTGGGCAGCAGGCTGCGCGCCGCCGGCTGTCTTCTCGCCAGCCAGAGCTGAGCAAACACAGGGGAGTTAACAAAAACAGCCTTTCTCGGTGGGGCTCGAACCCTCGTGCACAGTGGCGGCTAGAGGACCGGCGCAGGCGGACAAAACTCGAGATGCGTTTTGAGGTCCAGAGTCGCGAAACAGAACCCGTACCAAACGTGCGACCCCACCAATGGATTGCTCGTTCGGAGAGCAATCCATTGGTGGGGTCACAAGTCCAGTTTTGAGCACCACTTAGCGACTCTGGAGCTAAAAACCCGTCAGGGATTTTGACCGCTCCCACCGGTCTTCTGGCCCACTGCGCCTCGACCCTGGACGCACCACGGGCAGGAAGATGAGGCACAGCACGACGGTGACGGACAGCTGCTCGCGAACGAAGTGCGTGACGAGCATGGTGGTGGGGGACAGGTTGGCGGTGCGGGTGGCGACGCGCAGGGCCTGCACCACGTACAGGCTGCTGCTCACCACCAGCTCCACCACCAGGGCGGCGCACAGGAAGCCACGCTCGTTGAACTGCGTGCGGAAGGAGCGAGACACGTAGGCCAGGTGCAGCCCCACCAGCAAGCTCACCACCTCCGCTGAAATTGAAAAAGTAGTTCAGAGAATGAAAAAAGAGTCGGCAGCTTTGCGAGCCGCACAGTGGGCCAGAAGACTGGTGGACGCCACTCCGCGGACTGACCTGCCTGCGTGACCCAGTCCCACCAGAACGTCTTGCAGTGCGGGTACACCATGCCGTCGTCCGTGGTGACGGTGTCGAGCAGCTGGAAGCCCTCGTTGTAGAAGTGCAGCGAGGCGGCTGTGAGCGCGGCCAGGTACGCGAACACGGCCAGCACCATGGCGCCGAGGTGGCGCAGCAGGTCGCGGTCCTTGAGCACCCAGCGGTGCGCCTTGCGGGTGCGGAACTCCACCAGGATCCTGGGGTTCAAACACTCACTCTTTGTTTCTCGTGTCGTTGATGGCTTGAGCGGTTCAGAAGCGTGTTTTGTCGCTCCGTCTCTCTCGCACCCCTCTGGACAGCCCCGGCAGTGCGACAGAGACAGAGTGACGAAACGACCAAAAGCTCGGCAGGGCACAGTGCGCCAGCCAGAGGACCGGTGGAGGCGGTCAAAATCCCGAACGCGCTTCGAGCTCCAGTGACGCTGAATGGGACTCGAACCGAACGTGTGACCCCACCAACGGATTGCTCTCCGGACAAGGGGTCCATTGGTGGGGTCGCACTTTCGGTACGAGTCCTATGTAGCGACTCTAGAGCTCATAACGCGTCTTTGGCCGCCAGCACCGCCTTCTGGCCCACTGTGTGACTCTGCTGTACCTGTACAGCTTGAGGATGATGGAGCCGTAGCAGACGACGAAGCCCATCTCGCGGCACCAGGGTTCCAGCAGGCACACCCACAGGCTGGGCTCCACGAAGCGCAGCACGACCTGTGCAGCAAAGGCCGCGGTCACCCCACTGTGAAACTCCCGCACACAAACTCCATTTGCTTCTTTATTCTTGGCTCACTCACCGCTGTCTGCAGGAGCAGCGCCCCCAGAAGAAGCGTCTCCAGCATCATCCACATGCTGGAGGAGACGATCTAGAGGTCGACAGGGAAAGCCCGCCTTGTTAGTCGGGGACCTCTCAAAATGATTAAAATGCAATTAAACTCGCTCCTCTCTCTCCCCGAGTCCCCCCCCCCCACCCCCCGGCCTCCCCGAGGCCTCCTTCACGGTGGGCATATGGCGCCGCTTCCGCGCCGATTCACAGTTCAGAACTCTCCCCAGCGCCGCTCGCAAACTTGGGCGCGTAGTCTGGGACTGGAGCGGAGACGGAAAGGGGGAGGGGGAGGGGGGCGCGTCGGCACCTCTGTCGGCACCTTGGTTGACGCGGCGACGCGCCGCTATTCCTATCCGCCGCGTCTAATTTTGCCTCGCCGCAGCGCACCGAGTCCGCACAGCGTTCCGTCGCTCTGTCTCTCTCGCACCCACGCGGAACCACGCTGAACCGCGCGGAGCGCCCCGTGAGTGGGAGAGAGACAGAGACGTTCGCTGAGCATGTGGCGGCTTCCTTCCTCGCTGGCGTTTGGCGACGCGGCGCCGCGCCCCGCAGCACCAGCGGCTGCAGGCTCTGTCTCTCACGCACTCTCACCGCGTAGCGTGTGCGCGAGAGAGACGGAGCGAGGGCGGACCTGCGCTGGCCGGGCGCCTGCAACGCGCTGGCTAGGCCGGCCCGCCGCGCAGGCGGGTGGCCGGGTTGCCTACCCCGGGCTTCACAGGCGCTCGAGCCGCACCACCACGGCCACGGCGGCCCCGCGGAGTCGTCTCTCTCTTTCGTTCCGCTGCCGCCGCGCTGCAGCGCGAACTGTGCTTTCTTCAGTCTGTCTCTCTCGCACCCTCAAGGCCTCACGGGGCGGCGCTGGAGTGCGAGAGAGACAGAGAAAGGGACTGCTGCTCACCTTGCACTTTCTCTTCTTGAAGACGACGAGGCCCAGGAGCAGGACGATGGCCATGACGACGCCCTGCGCCACCTTGAGGCCCGTCCGCACGCCCTTCTCCCAGGCGTTGGCCATGCCGCAGCGCGGCTGGTCCGGCGGGCACGGCGCGCACCTGCAAGTTTACAAAATGCTTTTATTAATTGACAGGGCCGATGTTGTAAAATCTTGAGAAACACTCTCCCCTTCCCCTTCCCGATCGCGGACTGGCAACCGCTCTAATTGCTTCGCGGCCTACTTGGCCTGCCTCGCCTACTTTGTCTTGGCGGCGGGGCGGGGCGGGGCGGCGGCCACTCGGCTGTCGTTACGGTGTGGGGCCAGGGCAGGCCAGGGCCTGGCCGCCCAAGGCAGGTGCTCTCTTATCCAGCCGGAGCACCCTCATCTCGCCAGCAGCCCGCCCCGCCCCGCCCCGCCCCGCCCCGCCCCGCCCCCCGCCCCGCCCCCCGCCCCGCCCCCGCTGTGGAGGGCCCTCGGCCACCGTGCGCCACGCGCCACACCACGCCACGCCACTCTAAGCAACCACCAGCTGACGGAGCACGGCTGGCTATGAGCCTCGCGCCCAGGACGGCCCGGTGTCGCTTCGTCACCCCGTCTCTCTCGCACTCAAGGTGCGCCGCGTCGCGGTGCGTCGCGGTGCGAGAGAGACAGAGCGACCGGTGGCGCCCTGATCGAGATGAGGTATCGCGTTTTCTTTGCTTTCGGTCGGGTTTCCGCTGCTCTCGTCTCATCGCTCTGCCGCTGGCGCTCCTCCCAGCAGGCCGACCCTGCCAAGCGATTCAGAAGAGTCGTCCTATCGTCGCTCTGTCTCTGTCGCACTCACGGGGCTGCCCGCGAGAGTGTGAGAGAAACAGAGCGACAAATCGTTCTCCTGAATCGCTCGGCAGGCCCAAGGACACCGAGGACACCACGTGTGTGTGCGGCGGGAGGTGGCCTGGAAGGACCTCGCACGTCCTGGGTGTCCTGGGGGCGGGGGCGGGGGCGGGGGCGGGGGCAAGGTAGGCGTGGGGAGGTGTCGGGAGGTGGGGTGAGGTGTGGGGAGGTGTGTCACTGTCTTTGCTGTCACACTCTATCGACATGGCACGACATAATGGCCGCTGGCAGGCAAGCAAGCGGGACGGACGGGGCTGGCAGCACGCTGGCAGCACGCTGGCAGACTGGCAGGCACGTAGATAGAGAGAGAGACGGTGGGACGGGCAGGCCGAGCTGGCAGACCGGCAGACAGACTTACAGCTGGATGCATCCGACTGGAGCCCAGCCGCCCCGGCCGCCCCAGCGGCCCCAGCCCCGCTGGAGGCGGCGGAGTGAGGAGTGAGGGAGAGAGAGGCGCGACGGAGCGGGATGACTGGGCTTGTTTGCAGAGCGGGGGTGGGGGTGGGGGAAGGAGAGGGAGAGAGAGGGGAGTAGCGCTCGATGACCGACTGTCACGCACGGGACGCTGTGCGCCGTTCTAAAGTACTGGAGGAACGTCTTTCGCACCTCGCCCCCTTTTCCCCTCTTTCTCCCCCTCGTTCCACCACACGCACGCAAACGCGCGCGCTCTCTCACACACACACGCACACACGGGCACGCGCACAGCGCACAGGAGTGCCGAGGGAATTTTAATAACGCAATTAAAAGTAAATCCCGTCATTGCACGTGTGCTGCGTGCCTTGCCTGCCCCTACCCCTGCCTGTCAAGTTTGGGATGCTGGGCGGGAGGAGAGAGAGAGAGAGAGAGAGACGAACTCGCGGTCCACCAGGCTCCACCACAGCACGACATATCGATGCCCTGGAATACTTCGGGATCGGATTTCGATTCCATTATTTCAGAGTTGAGACCTCCGCCGGGCCGCCGTGCCGCGGGGCCACTGGGCTGACGCCGACAGCACGCGGCGTGGCTTGGCCCGCCAGCGGCCCGCGGCACGGCGCCACGCGGACGCCAAAGCGCGCGGAAAGCGCTTTATTTATCCTGATGGGCCGACCCCACTGACGAGTGTGTGTGTGTGTGTGTGTGTTGCGCACGCGAGCACACACGTCCTCTTGGGGCTAACAGTAGTAGCGCCCGCTTTGTGTGGGCAAGGCCTTACGGCTCGTCCAACAGCGCAATCTTAAGTCTCTTGTGCCCCGGCCCCTTAATGACGCGCCCCGTCGTGTGTGTGTGAGTGCGCGTGTGTGTGTGGCGGGGGGAAGGGGGCAAAAGAGCCCCCTTTTTTTCTGCGGTAAGGCTGCGGCTGCCACGTTCCTCTCATTTTTTTGTTACAAAAAAAAAACCGTTGAATAAATGAACGTCTGCTAATATTCCGTTCCAGATTGATGGTTCTACCGCACTCGGCCTTCGGGACAGACGCATGGACGCACCAGCGAGACAAGGTTTCATCGGTTTGTGTTTTTTTGGTTTTGTTTTTGTTTTTTGCTCTTTCCGTTATTGCATTTGCGAGGTGCGTGGCACTGCGTGGCCGCGCCTGATCGCCGCGAGACCGTCGCTCTGTCACGCCGATCTGATGGCCAGCGAGAGCGAGAGAGAGCGAGAGAGAGCGAGAGAGAGCGAGAGAGCGCGGCGAGAGCGCGCGGGAGCGAGGGAGACGAAGCGCGCTCGGATGCCCGGTGGCACCCGCTCGGCTCGTCGGCTCGGCTCGCGCTCGGTGCCGGGCTGGCACGCCCGCTCTCGGCTCGGCTCGGCTCGGCTCGGCTCGGCTCGGCTCGGCTCGGCTCGGCTCGGCTCGGCTCGGCTCGGCTCGGCTCGGCTCGGCTCGGCTCGGCAAGGCAACGCCAGGCAAGGCAGGCAACCCCCTTGGAGTTCTTCTCACCAGAAACCACTTTGAGCTGCTCGCACCTCGTCTGGTACCGGAACACCGGAAGCAGCCACGCCCGGCACACCGATTCCGAGAGTCGTTTTCGTCGCTCTGTCTCTCTCGCACTCATGGGGCGTCCCGTATAGGTGCGAGAGAGACAGAGCGACGAAGACGACTCTCGAAATCAGTGTGCAGGGGCACGACGAGGACAGGGAGGAGGGAAGGGGCGGGGACGGGGCCCTTTGCGTACCAGCCAGTCACCTGTAACCGCGCAGTGATGCCCTTCCCCTCGGCCCCGGGCCCTGGGCGCTGCAGGCGAGCCCTGGGCGGCCTGGTCCAGCCCTCAACACGGCCCTTTGCACTCGGTGTTCCAGGCCGGCTGTGCAAGTTTTAATGATATGATGCGAGTTTGCAAAGAGGGAGGGGGAAAGGGGAGGGGGGAGGATGGCGATGGGCCAGTATAGTTTGAAGGCGGTGCGGCGGTGCGCGGCCGACGCGAACACACGAGTTTGCCTCGGGGCTACACTCTTAATAAAGTTAGTCTGGAAACGGTCAATAAGAAAATTGCTCCCAATACGTGTACGCCGCGCTCGCGGCGCACGCGCGACCAGAAGCGGGCAAAAGTTGCTCTATAAAGAGAGGTTGCGCCCAGGTCGACTTTCGCCGCGCGGAACTCTCGACGGAGCAGGAGGCGAAGCAGGAGGAGAAGAAGAAGTAGTGCTTTGTGAAGCGAAGCCAAGCGAAGCGCCGCCAAGAAAATTGCGCTCAAATCCGGCCCGCGCGCAACGCAACAAGTTCGAAAAACTCGTTAAAAAATTCAGGGCCGGCTTTTGCAGGGGCCGGCCGACGGGACGGACACGGCCAGTAGACTGATTCCGAGAGTCGTCTTCGTCGCTCTGTCTCTCTCGCACCTTTACGGGACGCCCCGTGAGTGCGAGAGAGACAGAGCGACGAAGACGACTCCGGTCTGCTGGCTTGGCCTGGCAGTGGCCTGGCAGCAGCAGACCACTTTGCGGTGGACTGGCGCGCTGCTTCACCGAGGGCCCAGGCCCAGGCCCAGGGCTCCTGCTGGCTTCTGCCCTTCCGCTGCCAAATTGTCCGTGTGTCCGTCCGTCCGTCCGTCCGTCCACCCTGCGTGATGCGTGACGGCCCGACGGGCTCCACACCGTCGCGCTCCCCCGGCGTGTGCCACCCTATCGAGGGCCTCCCCTCCCCCTCCCAACCCCTTCCCTCCACAGTGTACAGCCTCACACCGCCGTCACAACCATCACGCAACGACACCTCTCCCGCAGAGGCGAGCGAGAAAATAGCAGCTCGCTGTATCGCTTTCATTCCCAGACTTCATAAACTCCGACATTATTTCTGCGTATGTTTCTTTTTTTCTCTCGCAAATTTGTTAGGTTTCTGTCAGCAGCAAAGTTGTTTTTGTTGCGTTTTCTGAGAGAGTTCCTTTTTTTTCTGGTTTGTGGACGGTATCACATCACGGAGCCCCCGCCGCGGTACCTCCGCCATCCGGGGACTCAATGGCCCCCGGACAAAACAGCTGCTTTGATGAGGCTCCCTTCAGCGGGCTGCAGACGGAGAGAGAGGGGGGGGGGAGCTCTGCAAACACCAAGGACAAGGAGGACACAAGGCAGACATAATACGGAAGTTACGCCGCGGCTTAAAAAGGGACTCATTAGGGTTGGCGGGGAAGGCCGGCGGGAAGGGCAAGGGCAGGCCCTCGACCACGCCGCCAGAGGCAGCCAGGCCACACGCCCCCCCCCCCCCCCCTGCCGCCGTCTGGCGAAAAGAACAGCTACTTGTGCACAAAGCAAAAAGACGGCGCGGCGGTGGTGGCAGAGATGATCCATTTCGGCACATCGACGACACGGCGACACGCTGGGGAGGGGGGGGGGACAGAATGAGCAGCAGGGGGAGCAGAGGTTTTCCGTCACCCGCCAACTGGGCCCCGCCGCCGGGCCGCTCTGGCGTGGCGCGCTCAAATTGTGTTGGCCGTGCCGTGCCACACGGTTAATGGCGCTAAGGGGTGGAAGGGAAACTGATTGCTTTTAAATGAAGAAACGCCGCCGCCTTCTTCATTGTGGCGCCAGTTTTTCGAATCGCGTCTCGATTTCACGCGGGCGTTGGCCGGACCTGTTGGGTCGGACGTGGGGCCAAAACTCCAGACGCGTTTTGAGCTCTACAGTCGCTTAACAGGACTCGAACCTGCCGTGTGCCTCACCAATGGATTCTTCGTCCGGAGAGCAATCCATTGGTGGGGTCACACGTTCGGTTCGAGTCGTGCTAAGCGACTCTGGAGCTGAAAACGCGTCCGGGATTTCGACCGCCTCCACCGGTCTTCTGGCCCACTGTGCGCTCGCAGTGCAGTGCTTGCAGTGCGGCGGCCCTGCCTGAGTGTCTCGCCCCGTCGGGACGACGCCGCGGATCAATGCGCTATTTTATTCAGGGCGTGCGATCGCCGCTATGGCTGCAAATGCCGTCCAGCTGTGTCCTTGTCTGGCCCACTGTGCGCCGCTGCCCTTTCCCATCCTTCTCTGTCCTTCGTCCGGCGCTGCTGTCCGGGTGCCTCACCCTGTCCAGAATGCAACCGCCGGCCGTACCCACCCCCTGTCGCCCAGTTCGGGAACAGTCGAGCCGTAACAAGATAAAAAAGGGAAAGAAAAAAGAAGAAACTTGGGCAAGTTACGATTAAAATCAAAAACTTGGAGCGAGCGCGCTGCCTGGGACGTCATTTCACACGGCGTGGTACGCACAGCGCTACCAGATGCTCCGAAAAAAAGGAGAAGGAGAAGAAGAAGACGAAGGAGAGAAAGGGGTGAGAAAAAAAACGAGGGCATGGCGGAGTGTGAGGGTGGCCGGTTTGGACAGCTTTTCAAGCCGCCGGAATGGCGTGTCGGGCACTTTGGATAGGAGAGGTCGTGGCCCCTCCCCCCCCCTCCCCCTCCCCAGTGAGAGGTGGGATTTACCGCTCTCCAAACGGCATTAAAACTCGCGGTGGATGACTGGGGCCGTCCGGCCGTCAGGCCGTCAGGCCGTCAGCAGACTGATTCCTGAGAGCCGTTTTCGTCGCTCTGTCTCTCTCGCACCAACAAGGGACGCCCCAGGAGTGCGAGAGAGACGACCCGACTAAAACGACTCTCGGAATCAGTCTGCCGGCCGTCAGGCCGGCTTGTGCACTAAAAAGAGATGGCATAATTAAAGGGATCGGGGCTGGTGAGCCGAGACAGGCGGGGCGCGGAGCGCGGAGCACGCCGCCGCGATTCCTAACACCCTACCTCTTTTTCTATTAAAAAATAAAGTTTTTTTTTTAAATAAAAATTTGACAGCTTATTAAAAATAAAAGCAAACTTAATTTCGAAATGTATTGCCGGCTGGGCTACGGGATTGGTGGTGGCGGCGGTGGCTCGCACAACATCGAGAGTTTGCCGGTCGGCACCTCTGAAAGGAGGGCTGGCCGGCACGGGCGGCTCGGCTCTCCTCAAAGGCGCCAAAATGCAACTTAGTTTCTTTGCGAATGCGGCAGTGCGGCAGTCGGCACCCTTCCTCCAGCAGGCCGCTTCCGAGCACTGCTTTTGTGGCTGTCTCGCTCGCACCCGTACGGGACGCCCCATGAGTGCGAGAGAGACAGAGCGACGAGAGCAGTGTTCGGAATCAGCCTGAAGGCCGCACCGTCCCGCGGGCGTGCCTCCAGTCTTGCCTCTAGGCTTGCCTCTGCTTGCCTCTGCTTGCCCGGCAGCAATGTTTTATGAACACCTCTCTGCGTGAGAGAGAGAGAGAGAGAGAGAGAGAGAGAGAGAGAGAGAGAGAGAGAGAGAGAGAGAGAGAGAGAGAGAGAGAGAGAGAGAGAGAGAGAGAGAGAGAGAAAGCCGCGGAATGGACTGGGGCTGGAGGTGCCTGGCCGGGCGCAAGCCAGCAGCCGCACATTGCGAACATCGCCGGCTTTTTGTATTGTTTTTATTATTCCCCGATGCAAAATTTTTAGGTCATCAGTTCCGCCTGTGGGAAACACAAGGTGTGAAAGCCTGGCCGGCCGGCCCGGCCTCCCTCCCAGGCCGGAGACCGACGACCTGGAGCTCTCGATCACCGTGGGGCAAGCAGGGGAAGGGAAAGGGGGAAGGGAGGCCGTCAGGTCGTCACGCTCCGCCCGGCGCTCCGTCACCGTCAGCAGGCTGATGCCGAGAGCCGTCTCCGTCGCTCTGTCTCCCTCGCACTCATGGAGCGTCCCCTGTAGGTGCGAGAGAGACAGAGCGACCAAAACGACCTCGGAATCAGGCTGCGCGGCGGCAGCCAGCGGCTTTACGCACCGCCCCCAACCTGAGCCCCGAGGGGGCCGAACGGGGACCGGGCGGGGACCGCAGGGCGGCTGTTTGCAGTTTGTCGACATTATACTGCTGAAAGGCAAGCATTGTGCACGGGGCGCGACGGGCGGGGCGGGGCGGGGCGGGGCGGGGCGGGCAGGACGCCCTGCTGGGCCTGGAGGAAGAGGAACCGGAAGTCTCTCGGCACGGCGCGGCTCGGCACGGCCCGCCACAAAGGCGGCAGGCAGAGCAGCAGGGTGCGTACCGATGCAACAAGTGCAGTGTACGCCACCCTGAAAATACCGGCAGACCCGGGACCGGAATGGAATGCCGCGCCGAGATTCCGATCTGGCCGAAACGAGGACTCGACGGAATGTCTTGCTTTGCTTTTCACTCACGAGAACTGCGGCGGCTCGACGTAGGAGTCGTTGAGGGGCGGCGACCCCGCGGGCAGCGTCACCGGCCCGAACCCGTAGCTGCACTGGCACCTGTAGGACATCCGGCGCGCGCCGTGGCCCAGGTGCACGGCCATGCACTGCGGGCAGAAGGACGACGTCAAACACAGTCGGGCGTCAACCCCGCGGGGCGCGTCGACATCAACATCGTCACCATCGGCCAGGGTGACAGAAAATCAATCCCACGGACGCCCAGCGGACTGATTCCGAGAGTCGTTTTTGTCACTCTGGCTCTCTCGCACTCATGGGGCGTGCCCTAGAGGTGTAAGAGAGACAGAGCGACGTAGGCGACTCTCAAAATGAGTCTGCCGTGAGGCCATGACGCTCACCACGGTGGTGTTGGGGTCGCAGCGGTGGCCGCCATACAGCAGCGCGCCCCAGGTCCGGTCGCACGGGTCCACCTCGGCCTGCGCGATGTTGAAGAAGACGCCGGCCAGGGTGCTGCAACAACGACACGGCGGATTAGGCGGCGCCCACACTGCGAGCGCTTCAAATGCATGCATGCACATGGGACATGCGCGTGGGACTCGAACACGGCCTCGGCGTCGTCCTCGTCCTCGCACTCGGCCCCGATTGGCTCGGCCGCGCTCGGCCGCGCTCGGCTCCCCCTTTGAAAAGCAGACCCCGCGCGCCCCGCGCCTCGAGCAGGCACTCGTCCGCATTGCGCTGAGCACTGTCTGAGGTGCGCTCACTTGTTGTTCTGACCGTGCCTGCTTTTGTCTCAATTAATTATTTTTCCTCAGACAAAATCTTTTAAGCGTCTGTTTTCCTGTTGTCGGTTGTTTCATTTTCATCCGTCTTTTTTTCCTGTGTCTGTTTTTTTGTTGTCCGTTTTCTCCTTTCGGCCATTTTTTTTGTTGCGTTTGTCTGTTTGCTGTTCGGTCTCTTAAGCACGTGCCCTCAGGAGCAGAAACTAGCAAAAACTGAGAAGCCAGGACTCCATTCCCGCCTGCTCGTGGGGTAATCGCCGGGAGGAACAAGAAGAGTGGACGACGGACCTCTCCACTCCACTCGCCTCGCTCGAGGCTCTGCTCGAGGCTCGGCTCCACTCACTTGTTGTGGCTGTGGATGCTGGCGCTGGGCGCGAACAGCCACACGCCCATGCTGCAGTCGTAGAAGGGGTGCGGCCACAGCTGCGCGGGCATTTCGGCCCTGGACAGCGCGCCGCCCCCCACCATGGCGCCGCCGCCCGAGCCAGCGCTGGAGGCCATGCCCGCCATGCCCGCCATGCCCGCCACGCCGAAGCTGTGCTGGCGCCGGCGCGCGTACTCGTCCAGAGTGCTCCAGTAGCCGTGGGCGCCCACCGCGGCGGCGGCCTTGTCCACCAGCGTGCGCAGTCCGTCGGGCCTGGAACACGCGCGCACGTCACAGTGGGCCAGAAGACCGGCGCAGGCGGCCAAAACTCTGGACGCGTTTCGAGCTCCACAGTCGCCAAGCAGAACTCGAACCGAACGTGTGACCCCACCATCCCTCGTTCGGAGAGCAATCCATTGGTGGGGTCACACGTTCGGTCACACCGGCTCCGGAGCTCCAAAACCGAGGTCCTTCTGTACTCACCTCCGGTACACGAGCAGCCGCATGCTGGGGGTCTGCACGGCGACGGCCTCGGCGGGGCGGTGCGCGTCGAGGAGGCCGCGGCCCAGCCGGCCCCAGTGCTCGGCCTCGGCCACGCCGCCGGAGGCCTTGGCCGGCACCCAGAGGCCGCGCGCCGCGGCGAGGGCCGTCCTCACCCCGGGCGGCCAGGACTCCGCCAGCAGGTTGGGCCCGGGGGCGGAGAGGGGCGGCGACCGCCGGACCTCCGGGCACTCCAAGAGGCTGAGGGTGCCGCCCCCGCCCCCGCCTCCGTCTCCGGCGCCCGCCCCCGCCGCCCCCAGCCACAGCAGGACGGCGGGCAGCAACATCCGGGTCGCTTGGGACCGGCACATCCCGATCCCTGCACAGCAAGAAGCAAAAGCATTAGGAGTTGCGGTGTGCGAAGCGGCGCGGCAAGGCGGGGCCCCTGCAGCGCGACGGGTAGGCCGCCCGCCCCGCGCGCGCGCCGACGGGTTGCCTACTCCGCACTTGGCAGGCGCTCCGACGGCCGACGCGACTCCGGCAGACTCCAAACGCTGCTTCGTTTCGTCTGTCTCTCTCGCACTCTTGCGGACTGCCCCATGAGTGCGAGAGAGACAGCGCGACGAAGCAGTGGTTCGGCATGGGTCTGCTGACGCGTCGCGCGGCGTGCCAGCCATGCCATGCGCCAGCCGAGCTTGACGGCATCGACGCGTCGCGACGCTCTCCCAGTTTCCGGTCGCGGCTAACCTTGTTGCTCGTCCTTCCTTTCCGTCTTTCCCTTCTTTTCCTGGCGCCCCTCTCCCCTGAATTGCTTTTAGGACTTGCGTGGGCACAAGGCGCCGAGCCGCGCCGAGCCGCGCCGGGCGGCACGTGCTATTCTCGAACCTCGCCTGTCCTCGCCTCTCTCTCTCTCTCTCTCTCTCTCTCTCTCTCTCTCTCTCTCTCCCCATCCTCGCCTGTCCTGGCGGCCTCACACAGCCTGGGAAGCTGGTTCATCCCCCATGCGACACGCCTCCCCCCTCCCCGCAGCCCCCTGTCCGCCCCCGTTTTACTTTCGCTCTCTCTCTCCCTCTCTCTCTCTCTCTCTCTCTCTCTCTCTCTCTCTCTCTCTCTCTCTCTTCTCCGCCCGTAGGTCTGGCCTGTCAATCCTTTTTCCAGCGTCGCCTGCCCGCCTGCCCGCCTGTCCGCCTGCCCGCATGCACCCTGGAAAGGGACCACTCCTATCTCATCTCGTCGGCATGGAAATGTGATTGTTTCAAGAGCCGGGTCCTCAAAGCGTGCCCCGGCCTGCCGCTCCGGACTCCAAACTCTAGACACCAGACTTTAGACTCCAGAGTCCAGATTCCAGACTCCAGATTCCAGACTCCAGGCTCGAGATTCCAGATCCGGGGCGAAACGAAGAGCCTGGCGCTCTCTGACGGATTCTCCAGCGGGCAGAAGTCGCTGGAGCTGCTGGAGCACAGTATTGAAAAACACAGAGCGGCGGAATTGGGGCGCGGCTGGGGCGCTGCGGAGCGGGAACGGCACGGGAACGGCACGGGACCGGGACCCTCTCGCTCCCCGATAAGTGAATCTGGGTAATAGAGTTAATGTCGGCAGGGAGAGTGGAGGTATACAAAGTTGTCGCGATGCCGCGCCATTAGGAATTAGGAAATGGGATTGGCCGTGCTGGCGGTGCAGGCGGGGCTGGCGACGTTGACTCGACGGCGGCGGCGTTTCCAGCTCGTACTTCCTTCCTGCTCGTGCTCGCCCTCCTTTTCCTCGACGGGCACCCGCCACGCTCCCCGCTGGCCGACAGTGGGCCAGAGGACCGGTGGAGCCGGTCAAAATCCCGGACGCGTTTTGAGCCCCAGAGTCGCTGAATGGGACTCGAACCGAACGTGTGACCCCACCAATGGATTGCTCTGCGAACGCGGAATCCGTTGGTGGGGTCGCACGCTCGGTTCGAGTACTGTTAAGCGACTCTGGAGCTCAAAACTCGTCTAGAATTTTGACCGCCTCCGCCGGTCTTCTGGCCCACTGTGCGGCCCCTCGGAGGGAGGGAGGAAACCCACAGCGCTGTTCGGATTCCCAAATTTAGAGGCATGCAAATTGCGGAAGACCGCGAGCCCGGCGAGCGGCCTCGCCCACGACCGCACGGACCGCATGCTGGCTGGAGGAAGAGAGGGGAGGCGAAGAGAAAAGGGGAAGGAAAAATAAAACTTGACCAGAATAAATGAAAAATAAAAGCTGTAATCCAAGAAAAAGCGGCGGCAAATCACACTCCCCCCGGGGGAAACATTTTCCGGTCACTAATTTATTCCGCCTCGTCACTTCGGCCGGCAAACAGCGCAGCGCCGACTTTGTTTTCCTCGTTTTTCGAGTTTTTTTTTTCAAATCGAAAAAGAGTTCCGGCTGTCCGGCGCGCCATCGAGCCCGATAAAACTAACGGCCAAGACAAGTCATAATTTCTTTCCCGGGCCGCGCTGCCCTCAGGGACAACCCATTCGACAAATGACCATCGTGATGACGACCGCCTCCCCCTCCCCCTGCAGCCCCGAGGGGGTGGAGCCTTCGCCACCCATCCTGGCGCCCCATGTTGCGGCCGCACGGCCTGCACGGCCTGCACGCCGAGAGGCACAGCGCCGCGCAGCACACCACACAGCGCTTATGGCCAACACGCGAGGAAACGCACGAAAAAAAAAAGTGGCGACGAAAAAAAGGCGTGTAAAAGTAATCCCCCGGCGAGGCGGCCCGGCGGAGGGCGGGCGGCACGGTGGAGTGGCTGAGCACTGGCTGAGCCGCTGGCTCATTTGCGGGGATAATGTGGGGGAGCATGAATGGGGCGGGCGGAACGGACGGCACGGGACGGACGGAACGGGTTGGCACGGGGGCGGTGGCTGCCAGTGGCCTGCCAGTGGCCTGCCACCCGATCCGGCTCCGCGCCGCATTGCACCCACTGCTCACCTGTTCACTTCACATGTTCCGTCCGACGGCTGGCCGGGGATGGACCGCCACTCATTGCTGGCTCGCGGCCGCGGCCCGCGACGCGCACGCCGACGACACGCTCACTGCGACGCTCGGCGCACCGCGGGGACCGCGAGGCCGAGGCCCCGGCACGGCGGGGGTCAGGCCGCGGCGCATGGCAAGCAATGGCAGGCACGCGCCGCGCACGCTAGCGCCCAGCACGCGGCACGGCACGGCACGGCACGGCGCCGCTCGGCAGCACTCCGGCGCACGCTCCGCTCGGCAGCACGCTGCCAGCACGCCACCAGGCACGAGGCGCACGAGGTTCGAGCTCTTGGAGCTCCCCGCCAGGCCGCCGCGCGGACACTGGCTGTGGCTGGCCCGCTGGCGGCCTGCTGGCCTGTGGCCTGTCCCTTCCGCCCTTCACCGCCCCACCCCCGGCCCAGCGTACTAACCCGCTAAGACCCCACCCTATCGCGCCCCCAGCCCGGGGACCCTACCCAGCCAGCCCAGCCCAACACGCCACACGCCCTCAGCCAGCCCAACACAGACCCGAACCGAGCCGAGCCGAGCCGAGGGGCACAACGCCCCCCCCCCAACGCCCCTCCCGCCCCCCCCCCGGCGAGGCTCCAGGGCTGGCTGGCGCTGCTGGCCCCCCCCCACCCCTCACCCCGCCCCCCAGCGAGCCACCACCCTGAAACGACCTTCTTCCCCTCCGCCCTCCGCGCCCCGCTCCGGTCTGCTGTCTCCCACCCCAATCCCATATATTTCCCCATCCCCTCCCCTCCCCCCTCCCCGGCCCCGGGGACCAGCGGCTCGCCCCCTTCCCCGCCCCCTCCCGCCACGCCCCCCCACTTTGGACCACGCAGTCCACCACGCAGTCCCGCGCCCCAAGCTGCCTGCTGCCCCTGGCCTGGCCATGGCCCGGCCCTGCACGGCCGCCTCGCCCGGCCCCGCCCGGCCTCGCCGCCTTGAGTCTTGGCTGGGGTGTAGAGGGATGTTCCCGGGCGGGGCGTGGCGGGGCGTGGCGGGGCGTGGCGGGGCGGGGGACGACTTGGCCAGCGAATGCGAGTGACGTCATGGTGATGCCGCCAGAGCCTGCCAGAGGCCAGACCTCGCGGCCGGTCCGGCGCCGCCGCCCCCGCGCCGAAAGGAGAGGAGAGGGCCGATGTTTTTCCAGTGTCGGCTCCAGAGGTGTTCCTCTCCTCATTCCCTTCGCGGAGGACACGCTAAATGGTTAAAGTTTGGCCGGGGGAAGAAAAAATAAGTTGGAACGGCGCCGGCGTGCCGAGAGGGCTTTTCTTGCTCCGGCTAGTTGCCGGGGAAGACCTCGACGGACGAGGGCACGCGGCACGCCACTGCTTGCTTCTTAATTTCCTTTTATTGTTCGTTTTTTGGGGATGTTTTTGTTTTCTTCGGTGCTCTGTAAGACGACAATCTGGAGAATCGCGACAATTTTCCTTTTACAGGCGGGTCCAAATTGCTCCGTCTAGTACAAACCAGCCTTGACACCGGTTATTTTCAGGAAGTCAGCCCCCTGTTACTATATGCACGCACCGCTACTATTCGCAGAGCGAATCCACACACACACACACACACACGCACACACTGGCACAACAACCACAACACATCGAGCAGAAAGAGCAGAGCCGGTGTTTTGTGCGATTCAAAATTGATAGGAAGTGATCATGTCCGATGAAATTGAAGCAACCGATCCCGATAGTATTGAAGAGCTTGAGAAAAAGTTCAGGCAAGAGAGAAAAGCGCTTCAAGGTAAAGAAATGCACTCTGTGGTGACCGCTAACCCCCCAGATTGTCTGAACTAATTTAAATAAAAATCAAATTATACGGTATTAAAGTTTGTTTTGACATTCGATCAAAATTTCTTGGGATAAAATATGGATGACTTAAGTATTGTCAAGTGCCTGATCCAATTTGAAAAGTTTGCATCGTCTGGCAGTATTGTACATCTTTCACGCATTTAACTAATTTTTCTTGCTTACAGCCAAAATACAATCACTCAAAAAATCGGTGACCAAGGGTGACAAGAAAAAGAAGAAAGAAGTTCAAGAGGAGATAGCACAGTTAGAGGCTGATTTAGACAAGCGGCAGAAAGAGGAAGAGGAAAATTTCAATCTAAATTCTCCAACGGTCTGTTCTTTTCCTTCTGAAAATGTGTCACAATTTTTGATATGTGGTTATACAATGTACTTATCATGATTGTTATTTACAGAAATCACTTGATAATGTTGAATCAGTTGCAAATGATGAGAAGTCGCTAGAAGAAACCCAGGATAATGTTGCAGCCCCTGTTGCGCGAGTGTCTAAAGCTGAAAAAAGGAGGCAAAAGAAAGCAACAGCTGGGAGAGAACGAAACGCGCGCATTCAGGAGCAGGAAAGCGAAAATTTGTTAGGTCCTAGACACAAGGAAATGGTTGCTATTGTTGAAAGGCTTCGTGAACGAGGCCTGGCAATTCACGGAATTATTGCAGATGGAAATTGGTACACTTATTAGAAAGTTATCATTTGCTTTGTAGACTGCGGATTCAAAGACTTGTTTTCAGTTTTCTTTCATTCCTTCCAGCTTGTACAGTGCAGTAGAACACCAACTGAAAGAAGCTGCAGCACCAGTAGTTGATTCTGACTACAAAGCTTTAAGGAAGCTGACTGCTAACCATCTACGACTCAACAGAGACGATTTCCTTCCATTTTTGTGTAACCAGGATACTGGTGATCCCATGTCGGAAACTGAATTTGAAGCCTACTGTAAGAAGGTTGAAAAGACAACTGCTTGGGGTGGTCAGATTGAGGTAAGTTGGTTTTGATTTAAATTTTTATTTAACTCTTTGTTTGTGTATTAAAAATGTCCATATCAATTTTGATTTTTCAGCTGAGAGCTCTTTCTGATGCCTTGAAGTACCCAATTGAAGTGGTTCAAGCAGAAGGCCCTCCCATGACCATTGGTGAGCAATATCTGGCCTCAAAGAAACCATTAATTGTAACCTTCCATCGGTATTTGTACAGACTAGGTGAACACTACAACTCTGTAGCTCCCTATGTTGAAGATGAACAAGAAAGTTAATTTGTTTCTACCGTCAAGCAACTACAATGTGTGAATTTATCAAAAAAATTTAACTTAATAAATTTGAAGAAACCCTGTGCCAAGTTCGTAGGAATGTCAAAAGAATAATTATCATACATCAGTTAGTCAAAGAAAATGGCCTTTATTTTCAATAAATTTTTACAAAAATAGTGTTACATATGGAACAATTGTCAAGGATTAAATCCACATAGTAGGAACTATGGGCTGATAAAGTTGAAACAAATTAGTATTTGTTTGAATTTTCTACTAAACTAGTGAGGAATGATAAAATTGAAGTGGTCATTGGCTCCTTAGCGTCAAATGCTCAGCATCTCTCTCATCCCAGAATCTTAAGCTAAAGTCATCTGTAAGCTAAAGGGACAACAAGCAATTCTGAAACAGATCTCTTAAAAGTAATTACTATTTGAGATTCAACTTCTCTTGAAAGTAGTTACTAAATGAGATCCACTTTTACTGTTTATCACATTGTGATCATCAGACAAAAAATCAATGTAAACGAAACATGAGAAGGGTACCCTACCCTTATGATACAAGAAATGCATACTTAAATAAAAATGTGTACAAAATAAAGAATGTTTCAGACGAATGTTCATAGAAAATGCAACCATAAATAGTACCAAATAAAATAATAATGTTATGGCTATCGCTTGTTCATTAAAAAAACTTGTAAGACATGAATGGCACACCAAAAGAAAAGAAAGAAGTGGGAAACTATTTCCTTGTGCAATATGCAATACAGAGAATATGGTCACATATAAGAAAAAAATTGTACAATTAAAAAGAGCATGTCAGTGAAAACGACATGAATGAAAATATCAGATCAACAATACAAACTATGAAATTCACACATCACATATGTGAGCCAAGTCTCTTAGAGATAAATTCAATAAGAATAAATACACTACTTCCAGAGCCAAGTGAGCAAAATGCTATGGCACAGACATATGCTTCCAGTCGGCATAAAACTGTTACAAGATTTTGAAATATAAGAGCATGTTAAACAGTTATCATCCATCCTGTAAAAGTGATACTGCAATTCAAATTAACTAAGAAAAAACAGCAATGTTTAACATGGCCCACAGCAAGATCCTTGGCTAAAAAGCAAAGAATCTTGTCATATACTGTACATACATTGCCATTTAAAAATTAAACCCACCAACTTTTACAAGTACAATAAATATAGGTTATCAAAAATGGCAAGAAAATAGCACATAGGTTTTTGATTATTTTTGGCAAAGTGCTGGCTTATAATGTCTCAGTAAATGCAGTCTATAATTTCAATGCAAGGGTGATGAAAAAAAATAATACTGACTTTTCATTTGAACCTTACATTATATATAAAACTTTAAAATCTGTTGTAGAGAAAAATAGATTAGACAGTCCTGCTGAAATACATCAATAAGAAAAATAAATTCATACCAGATGCAGGAACAATGAGTGAAGTGAATTTGGAACATCACCAACAACATGGTTATGTGATCACAAACAACTATAAATAAAACTAAATTTGTACAAAGATATAAAAAATAGAAGGCTGACTAACAACTAATGCTCAAATTTGTCACTTAAGGCAATTATAAAATAGAGTGAACAGTGAACAGGTTATGAAATTGTCAAAAGAATTGTCAGTTTGCTTTTGCCTTCTAATCACACCAGGTGACACAGTGAATAAGAGAGCTTAAATTAAAATATAACCTGGTACAAACAGAAAAGGCTGTCTTAGAAGTAATGAGAATGTGCTGTAAGCTTTGTAGTAAAACTTAAGTCTGCTAAATTGGAATACTCAAGCATAAAAGTACTGCACCAAAGGTGTGCAAAATGTCAAAAATTGACACATGGTATGTACAAAAACTCTTTTCAGACTTACTAGATCAAATCAGAACATTGTCACAATTAAAACATCTTTGCATACTGTGCATTAAAAGTATGAACTCGTCTTTTGTTAAAGCTATCTATATGTACAAAAGATCAAAACTGCAGAAGTCAAGGCAACCAAAGCATAGATTGATCTCATAATGTGTCTCTTAAAGTGAGCCCGATAAAGAAACACAGAATGCACACAAGTTTTCACTAGAATAAATAACATGCAAACAGGGAATACAGCAAAAAAATATTTGACAAATGTAGACAGCTGCTGCCAAAAACTTGGTGCTGGGTTTGCACTTACATTGAATGAACTAGAAGAGACCACAATCTTTCAGATTGTTCTTGATAATGACATCAGTTACAGCATCAAAAACAAATTGGATGTTGCTAGTATCAGTAGCACAGGTGAAATGTGTATAAATTTCTTTCTGATCCTTTTTCTTGTTGAGATTCTCAAACTTCATTTGGATGTAAGCAGCAGCCTCTTCATACGTGTCTGATCCTATTTAAGAATCAAAGAAAATCATTTAGTATATGCAGATAACTTGATACAATCCTAAAAGAGATACAATAAGCTGCAACAAAGAAGAGGTAAAAGTCTATAAACTTACCAGAGTACTCAGGGAAACAAATAGTGAGAGGGCTCTTGTCAATCTTATCTTCAAACAAATCTTTCTTGTTGAGGAAAAGGATGATAGAGGTTTCAACAAACCATTTACTGTTGCAGATTGAATCGAACAGTTTCATTGACTCAATCATGCGGTTCATTTCCTCATCCTCAGCCAAAACAAGATCATACCCTACAAAAAAAAAAAAAAAGCAATGAAGGAAAAAGTTTGGCAATTTACCAATGTAAAGCAGAAGTATAGCTGGGAGGAAAAACTAACCTGACAGGGCAACACAGAAAATAATGGCTGTAACCCCTTCAAAGCAATGAATCCACTTCTTTCTCTCTGATCGTTGACCACCAACATCAAACATTCTAGAAAGTAAATGTGACACAGTTAATGAATCATATGCCACAATCTTTGGAATAGAGGTAGCTGGGAGAAGAGTAACTCTAAACTCACTTGAAATGAAGTCCCTTGAAAGAAAAGTGAGTTTCCACAATACCAGTGGTCTTCACTCTTGTGCGCAAAACATCTTGCTGGGTAGGCACATAGCTCGGCAATGAAATGCGATCTAGTGCATTGAGGTAGTAAGCAGCAGAGTCGTTTAATTGGTATTCTCTTGAACGTGAAAAGCATAACTGGACACCAGCGTCTTGCCACAAACGTTTCATCAGCAATACCAATTCAGGTGTCAATTCCCCTTCTCCAGCTTCACTTGCAAGTGTGAAAAACTGTCGAGCCAGTTCCTAAAGTAACAGAAACAAAAAGGAATATTAAGAGATCGAAATTGCATAGAATTAGTAATAAAGAAAATAATTAATTTGAGGAGACTCACAGTTCTCCCTGGATCAGCAAAGTCAATGCGTAGCTGTCCCATGGCTCGGATTATAGCCATTAAACTTTGGATAGTGTTGCTGTAGACCACTGGACGATATTGTTCACATTCTTCTATTGAATATCCTGTCTCATGAATGATCTTCATTTGCTTAACAATCGTACTTTTTCCTGACTCTCCCGCTCCTAAAACAAAGCAAATCAGGAAAGTTAGCTTCAAAAAAATAAACATGAGTTATTGTGATATAGGATGGTCACATTGAACATATACGAGGAAATTTATATTAAATGTGAATGCACACTGCCTCTAAAGAGAGCAAAACACAACATAAACAAGGCCGTTGCAACGCCAGATTCAGATTGGTGTCGTCAACGCACAGTTCAGAAAAATAATGAGTAACTCAGTTCAACTGACTAAGCCACAGCAAGATAGACTCAACCAGTTCAAAACAGTCTCATCAACAGCGACATAAATACACAAAGTTCATGAAAAGCCGCAAAAAGTGACACAGACAGGGTGGTCAACAACTAGTGCAGTCCCCTGACTTAGCTTTCACTCACCCAAGAGCAGCAGTTTGACTTCTCTGGCGGCGCGCTCCCCGTCCATCCGCAGGTCCTTGTCGATCTTCTTGGACCTCTCGGCGGCCTCCTTCTCGCCGGCTGAACTTACTGCGCATCCCATGTTGACGGAAAGGTTCAAGAACCTACTTGTTGCTAGGACCCTTGTCCAGTGTCAGTGCCTCCGCCCAGGTACCCCCACACTGGAGAGGCTTCCTCTGCTTCAGCGCTTCAGTAGGCCGCGCCGCCTGAAAAGGAACACAGGTCTCAGAACGAGGTGCGCGGTGCGCGAAGCGGCGAGTATTTTCCTGTTGAAACTTCGGACAAAAATAGGACGAGTACACACAGCTAAACGTAAATTGTCGACCAAACTTGCTTTACCTTTACCAGGCTCACTGTTGACAACGCTACGCTGAAAAAAACAGGCGACGCTACCAACTGTGGAGAAGTGGAATAAATATCCGACGATCACCCAAGCCTACGTTTGTCATCCCTCTAGTGATCTACCTTCAAAACTTATCGCTTCAGACTCATTTAGGTCACGAAAAATTCAATGTTTCGGTAAATACGTCGATAGAGCCACGTCGTGGATGGAGCGTGAAACACGCGAAAGAATCCAGAAGGCTTAGTAACCTAACCGTCGTCCGCTCCACGGCAACTTTCCGCCACCGCCCCCCCCCCCCCCCCCCCCCGCCTCATCTTGCCTTTCTGCTCGCGAAGCGACTGCCGACTGCCCCTTTCCTCCACGAATCACATCAAGATCAAGAAGACGTGGTTTATTTGAACCTTCTGACACATCAGCGAAAATGGCAATGAACGTGACCACTTACTTTAGGAGTGCTTGTCTCCTGGTCCTGACACCACAATGCTTCGACGAGTTCTTTGTCAACTATAACTTCCTAGACGGTAAGTGTGACCATTCCTTTTCTCTCATTTGTTTACCACCGCAAGAGTCCGGCCAGGTTATGTGTCTTGTTTGTTTTAACTGCTGCCTTCCATTCGACTGTCTCTACTTTCAAACAGAAAAATAATATCCCTCTGCCAAAGTTATAATTCATCAAATTCCAGTGGAAAATCAATTTCACTTCTCCCTTTATTCCGTAAAATGTCATACAGAGTGACGAACTTCGACCCTTTGCTGCCAAATCATCTGCAATATGGGGGAGAGGTGTATCTGTGAATGAAGATTTTTATGATTGAACCCTTCTATCAATAGTACATACCTCAGTACATATTTTGCACCTTTTACCGAAACAACTTGGAATGTGAACTCGCTGACAGATCAAATGCTCAGTGTCCATTAGTTCTTAGCGGTACTCAACAAATTATTGAATTGACTGATTAAATACACAAGTTTCTAATACCTTGACTGTCTGTTTTCTAGTTCCCTGTTTAGAAGCGGCCCTCAGCAAAGGTCTAGGATATGGCATCATTATGGGATCCGTGATGGGTAAGTTGATCACCACATCTAAGACCTTAGGACCCTGTCGTGCTTCACGACAGTGATATCAAATTTTCACGGTTGAACCTTAAATGGACTTAGCGAAGAAATTAATGGCAGGTATGCTTTATGGTGGGAAAATCAGTCCTCTGCAGCCAATGACCGTTGGACCCTGTGGGACTTGTTTCGTGGGGCCAGCCGGCAGGAAGTTTCGCTTCCGACTCGAATGTTGGCCAACAACCACTTGAGGTGCTGAAAGCATCAAGGATTGCTGCAAGCCTCGGATTAACCGCCACGGGAACGGAAAACGGAACGGACGCAGCGCGGGCGTTGCTTCTCTACTCCGTGCTGGTGCCGCGGCGCGGCGATACCCCGCGCGTCGCGAGGCGGGTTGCCCTTCTGGCCGCCAGGTGGCGCGCGCTCTCGCTCCAGCGCGGGAAATTGACACTTCCCCGCCGCCGCGCCGCGGCCGTTGGCTTGACAGTTTGAACGCGTCAATACCCCATGTGCCGCGTTTGCGGCGCTCAACGTTAAAACCGGAGCGCGTCGCGTCTTTCGTCGCCAAGTGACGGCTTATCCTGGTTGCCCCTCCCCCGCCCCTCACCGTCAATTTATCGGAGAAAAGAGAGGGAACGCGTTGCTCTGCGAATCGCGGGGTAGCGACGCCCTGATGCCCTTTGTACACCTTTCTTGACTAACGCCCGCATCTGCTCGCAGTGAAAGTGCCTCAAATACTCAAGATCTGGAACGCGCGCAGCGGCGAGGGCATCAGCCTGGCTGGCGTGCTGCTGGACTTGTCCGCCATCACCGCCAACGTCGCCTACAGCTTCGTCCTCAAGTACCCCTTCAGGTGAGACCGACTGGCTGTCTCTCTCGCACTCATGGGGCGTCCCGCACGGGTGCGACAGAGACAGCGTGACGAAAACGACTCTCGGAATCAGTCTGCGGCGTGTGGACAGGTGGCCTGGCCAGCCAGGCGTGGGTCACGTCGCCGACGGGGCGGGGCGGAGGGAGCGTGTGTGGTCGCGGTGTCCGCCGCGCCCTCGCCCTCCCCCTCCCCCTTCTCCCTCTCACCTCGGCGACGACGGCATGTGTTTCAAGTCGGAGCGTCGCAGGCAACTACTTCCGTTGCCACGCCTACCCCTTCGCGCCCCGGGCCGCCCCGGGGAGGCGGTGTGGAGGGCAAACACGCACGGCACGGGGAGGACGAGGACGGCGTTTAGAAGGGCGGACGGCACTCGAGGGGCGCGGCCGCCTCCGCCGTGCTCCGCGGCAAGCGCGGCAAGGTGGGGTCCAACATGTGTCGAACAAGGAGACGAAGACGGGGCTCTCGGCGCGGGCTGTGCGTTCCGCCCTCCAGGGCCCGAGGCGCCGTGTACAACTTGCAGTGTAGTGTAGTGGCGGCCGCGCACGCGCGCGACTTGTCGCGACCCCACGTGGCACGCGCAGCCTCGCGCAGCCTCGCGCACAGCAGCACCCTGCACACCGATTCCGAGAGTCGTTTTCGTCGCTCTGGCTCTTTCGCACTCACGGGGCTTTCCGTAGGGGTGCGAGAGAGACAGAGCGACGAAGCGACTCTTGCGGCCAAATAAACACGCACGCTGGAACCGCGTCCATCCGTCGTCCACCTTGTCTGTTGCAGCGCCTGGGGCGAGGGCATGTTCCTGGTGGTGCAGACGGCCGTCATCGCCGCCCTGGTGCTCCACTTCGGCGGCCGCCCCGCCGGCGCCGTCACCTTCTCCGCCGTGTACGTCGCCATCCTGGGCGCCCTGCTGAGCGGCTACACCCCCATGCCCGTGCTCACCTTCCTGCAGAGCATGTGTGTGCCCGTCGTGATCCTCGGCAAGGTGAGCAAGGCCGCGCTGCTGGAGGGGGCCTCGGCCGGCCTCGGCGATGGCGGTCGCGGCCGTCGTCATCGAGGTCCAAAGTTTTTAAAAGTTTGGCCGAGTGCAGCGCTGTGCCGCGGCCGGAGGCAAGGGCCCGCAGGGCCGCTAGGGCCAAAGGCGGCCACCCCCAGCCCTTTTATTACGTAATTTGTGCACGACCCCTTGGACGGGGCGTGGCGGAACGCAACGCAACACACACCTGTTGTCGTCTTTTGTCGCGCTGCGTTATTGTTTCACGACGGGAAGTGCCCCGTTTTGACAGGGCAGCCCCTCCCCCTCCCCCTCCCCACCCCCTCCTGGACGGTCACCCCCACCCTGGCCAGCCCATGGGCCAGCCTGGCGGCGTGGCCATGGCGTGGCCGGCGTAGGTGTGACGGCGGCGGGTCAGTCCGTCAGGTGTTGAGGACAAAGCCCTTCATGGCATCGGCGGGGCCGGGCGGGGCCGGCGGCGGACGATCGCCGCGTTGCCATAGGTCAGGGCGGCGTCGTAGACCGCGCCGGATTCCGCGGCCCGCCCGGCAGACTGATTCCGTTTTCATCGCTCTGTCTCTCTCATACTCATGGGGCGTTCCGTGTAGGTGCGAGAGGAGAGAGAGAGAGAGAGAGAGAGAGAGAGAGAGAGAGAGAGAGAGAGAGAGAGAGAGAGAGAGAGAGAGAGAGAGAGAGAGAGAGCGACGAAAACGATGCGGCGCCGCGCCCAGTATAGGGCGTTCGCGTTCTCGTACACACAAGACTGCCGACGGCCGCGCGCGAAGCGCCCGTGTCGAAAGGGTTGCCAATTTTTGTGGTGACTGAAGAGGGGCGCCTGAAAAGTTTACCCCGACTGAGGAGGAGCAGCCGGCCATGCCGTTCGCGGCCATTTCTTCTTCGGGGCGGAGCGCGGGGCGCGGAGCCTCCCCCAAAAAGTCAGCTTGCCGAGTGGCTCTGCGGCCGGGCCTCTCCCAGGCCGTGCCACGGCCGTGCCTCCCCAAGCAGATGAGGGCTGCCGAGCATATGTGCTTTATTAGCCCAACTGCACGTTCCTGGCCTAACAGGCGGCCGCGGGGCGCGTGGGGGAGAGCCGGCCCGCCTCGGCCTGCCTCCAGAGGCAATGGCGCGGAATCGTAATTATTGGTTTGTTTCATGACGCAGAAAATGTTGACGGCAGTGTGCCGGTCCAAGCGCCCTTGTTCTTGCCGGCGTTGTTGGCACAACAGGTGCCTTTCGCCGCAAATCGCCACTTAGTTCGGCCGCCTTCGCGCGCCACCGCGCGCCTCGCGGACTTGACCGACTTGACCTCCACTCCACCACTGGAAGCTCCGCGAAGCTCCGCGCGGGGGGAGCGAGGAAAAAGCAAAGGCTTATTGACAGCTGACCGGGCGGGGCCGCGGGGCTGCGGGGATAACCACCTGCGCGGTGCCCCGCGCTCGTTGCGGCGAGTACCGTATACACAGACAATGCGGCTTTGAGGAGGCCGCCCCGCCCCGCCCCGCCCCGCCCCGCCCCGGTTTGGTGGTGGTAGCCCCATCTCACACGCATGCACCTGGAGTGGAGACCGCCGACAACAGGTGGGCGAGCGGCGTGCAGGACGGGGCGCGCTGATCAACGCCAATGACAAAAAAAATGTATATTGAAGAGTTAAGCACCGTTTAATGTGTATCAAGCAGCGCTTCATGTGCATGCTCGCTGGGTCGTGGATCGCTTTGGCGCAAGCTGGTCCTTCCCTTTCAGTGTGGTTTTGCTGCGTGTGGTTGAGTGCCTTGTCGTTTCACGGCGTCCTCAACGGCGTCCTCAACGGCGTCCTCAACGGCGTCCTCAACGGCGTCCTCAACGGCCTCGCTCGTGGTCCTCAACGGCGTCCTCGCGTCCTCAACGGCGTCCTCAACGGCGTTCGCAACGCCGTCCTCCACGTCGTGGTCGTCGTTCCGATCCCGTTCGGCGGAATGTTGCGTTCGCTCGCGACAAATGACGGTCATTTATGAGCGAACGGTCGGCGAGCCCCTCGTGGGGTCCCCTGGGCCCCAGGGCGGGGTCCCTAGGGTCCGCGGGGTCACGGGAACGCCGCGAACGCCGCCCAGGTGGCTGGCCGGCCTGGACTCGCATTGTCTTTGTCACACACACGCTGCGCGGCGCTGCGTGAGACGGAGTGAGACGCGGCCGCTTCTAGCCTTTGCCGTTACCTTCCCAGGGACGATGAAAGTATGAAAGGCAGCGTCGGGAACTCTTTTGCGGAAAACACAGGCTTGGGCCTGGTTTGCCCGCGTTGCCTGCACTGCAAGCAAACGACCTCTCCAGCTCTTTGGCGTCGTGTTTGGCTTCCGTGACGGTCGACGTGGAGGTTCGCCGCGAGGTTCGCGGCCAGCAGGGCGCAGCAGTACAGGGCGCAGTGGGGTGTTTGTTGGAACGAAGTTGGAACCCACCAGGGCCGCCAGAAAACCGGTGGAGTTGGCCAAAACTCTAGACGCGTTTTGAGCTCCAGAGTCGCTAAACGGGACTCGAACCGAACGTGTGACCCCGCCAACGGATTCCTCGTCCGGAGAGCAATCCATCGGTGGGGTCACACGTTCGGTTCGAGTCCTGTTCAGCGACTTTACAGCTCAAAACGCGCGTCTAGAATTTCGGCCGCCTCCACCAGTCTTCTGGCCCACTGTGCGACGCGGGCGCGTTTTGGTCGCATTCCGCCTGTCTTCCGCGCCGGCCTCTGCGGCTTGCTCGCATGCACCGCGTGTATGTAAACTAGGTGAGTACCGGAAGCCAAGTCATTAGCCTGACCCGGCGGGCTGGCGGCCCGGTCGACGCACGCACGCCCTGACCCGCGGGGCGGGGCGGGGCGGGGCGGCACCAGCCGCGGGCAAGGATTCGGAAAGGCCACCTTCCTCCGGAGACTGCTGCTCCGCTGTCCCCTCAGACAGGGCTCACCTGTGAATTGGTCGCATTATTTTTGGAAAAGAAGGGGGGGGGGAATGCCTCGCTGGCTGGAGCAGCGCTGGACTCGCTGTATATGTGTGTGTGTGTGTGTGTGTGGCAGCTGTCACGTCAGCGCGCGGACCGCGGCGGCGGGGTCACCAGCCACGCCACGCGCCGCCACCGCCCGCCGCCGAGGTACTGGTCACGGTCTCATTGTTTTTGCATGATATGTACACTGATCCGGCTGGAGGACGCACACACACACAAATGCGCGCGCGCTCTGTCTGTGTGTGAGTGTGTGCGTGTGTGTGACGGAGGCCTGGTTATTTGACATTGAGACAGGTGGCGCTCTGGGCCGGAGCCGAGCGGAGCGCGGCAGAAGTAGCCCATGGCTTAAAAAAAAAAACACGATGTAAATTTAAAAAAAAACTAGATCAAACTGTTTTCAATAAAAGCACAGAGTTTATGTTTTATTTTATAAATACTCTAGCCCAAGAAAAGAAATAACGCAAAACCGCTGTCAAGCCAAGGACATATGCCTTGGTTTTAATTATGCAAAAACAAAGGAAAATGGCGAGCTGGACATGGATGCGCGTGTTGGCCACGCGACGCCGCGCGTCGACCGGGCAGGGCGGGGCAGGGCGGACACCACCTGCAGGTGTTGCCGGGCACACCTCGCCGGGCGGGGCGGGCGGGCGGGGCGGGGCGGGGCGGGGGGGGGCGGGGCGGGGTGGGGCGGCGGGCGGTGCGTGTGCAGGCGCTAGGCCTGGTTCGCGTGTTCGGCGTGCAACCCCACTGCTCGGTCTGCTCGGGAGCTCTCTGCCCTCTTTGTCGGCGTGCCCGGACCCGCCCGGCCCGCCTAAATAGCTGCTTTTGGCTGGGGCCCTCGGTGCGCCGTGCGCGTTTAAGACAATTTCGGCGGCGTCCCCGACAAGGTCCTCGCCGTCCTCGGTGCGTGCGTGCGTGCGTGCCGCCGGGCCGATTAATTGATTTTGATTGATGCGAATGTAAGTGGCGGCCCGGCCGGTCCACGGTTACAGGCCCAAGGCTACAGGCCCAAGGCTTACGGCGCGCACAGCGTGTGAAGATGTCCGCGGGGCATCTCGGCCAGCCCCTCGGGCGCTCCGCCCAGGCCCTGCCCGGTCCGGCTGCCTCGCTCTGTCTCTCTCGCACTCATAGGACGCCCCCCGAGCGCGCGAGAGAGACAGAGCGTCGGAGCCCCTTCCGGAATCGGCCTGCTGATCACAGGGGCCAGTCAAAACGCGACCAGCGCGGGAAAATTGAATTAGTTCGCCCCGCACCTTTCCGTGCACCAAAGTGAAGCAGAGGCCGCCTCGGTGCCCTCTAGCTGGCCGGCTCTCTGATTCCGAGAGTCTGTCTCTCTCGCACCCGCACGGGACGCCCCGGACAGAGAGAGAATCCGTCTGCTGGCGCGGCCGAGCGGAACGCGTCCAACGGATTGCACCTTGCGGTGGTGTCTCGGCCACGGGGGTGGAGCAGCGCGCGCAAACAGTGCTCCGGCGCTCTCTCTCTCTCTCTCTCTCTCTCTCTCTCTCTCTCTCTCTCTCGTCTCTCTCTCTCGTCTCTCTCTCTCTCCCTCTCTCTCTCTCTCCTCTCTCTCTCTCTCTCTCTCTCTCTCGCTCTCTCTCTCCCCCTCTCGCGCTCTCCCGTCGCGACGCGAAACGGTGCTCGTCAGCTGCTCCATCTCGGGCTCTCTTGCTCCTTCTCGGATTCTCTCGAGTGTGTACAGTCTCTGCCCCTTCTTTTGCCCATGCTCCTCTCTCTCTCGCCCGCCCTGCGCGCGCCCGCTCTGCGGCGCGCTCCGCGCCCCCGCTGTGCGCAGGGCTCGAAAGCTTTCGGTGTATCATCAGTCGTGAAAAGCTCTATACCGCTCTTTTGCCGCGGCTGCCTCTTGCCTCGACCTGCCTCGGCGGGGCGCCCGGGCGATGGCGAGGGGAAGACAGGGGGCACACTTGGGCGGCCATGCGTCGACCCCGGGGGGGCGCAACGCGAAGAATGAGCGACGCAAGCTCGCCGCGGGCACCTCGTCGCATCTGCCGGACCGGCGATGTCTGTGGACGGCGATGTCTGTGCGAGCGACCGACTCAAGCTAGGGGCTGCTGCTGACTCATTGGTCTGTCTCTCTCGCACTCACGGGGCGTCCCGTGCAGGTGCGAGAGAGGCAGAGCGACGAAAACGACTCTCGGAATCAGTCTGCTGCTGGCTGCTTCATGGCTGCGCCGGGGCTGCCCCTCGCCTTTCGCATTCAGCCGCTGGGGTTGGAGAAAGAAGGCTGTCTGCTGAAGGCCTGAAGGCCTCAAGGCGGAAGGGGTGGCTGCAGCTCTGGCTGGCTGGCCGTGATTGCTTCCCCCTAACCTCCCTTGGCCTCCCTTGGCCTCCCTTCCCAGGCGGTCCGTCCCGTTCCGTCCCGTTCCGGCGCTTTAATGTCTTTACGCTGCTAATTATACCTCCTTTTAGCGCGTCTTCAATCTGCAATTCATTACCTCCCGGCCTAATTACCCTGGCCATTACCACGTCCTGCCACCAGTCTCCCCTTCCCCCTCTCTCTCTCTGGCCGGCCACCCCCTGGCTCCGTCCTGGCTGATACTACCCCTCCGGCCGCCCCAACCGACCGACACCTCAAAGTTGCCGCCGTAAAAATGGCGGGCGATCGCTGGCGCTGCCCTGGCGCCCCTCCACTGTAAGCCGTTTGCTTGCGGTGTGGCGGCCCTGCGGCCTACGGCCTATTAGTGTACGTTCCCTGAATGGTTTGGTGATAATGGCTGCAGTTGTGTAACGGTGTAGCGAGCGCCACCTGATCGGCTGCAGGCAGGCCCGCTCACTTTGAGCCTCGTTCCGTGTCAATTAGTGACATTAATTAGGCGGCTCAGGTCGTCGTGGTCTGCTCTGATTCCGGCAGTCGTTTTCGGCGCTCTGTGTCTCTCGCACTCGTAGGGCGCCCCGTGTAGGTGCGAGGGAGACAGAGCGACGAAAACGACTCTCGGCATCAGTCTTCAGCCGGCTCCACACGCCAGCGGAGTGCCGGGGGCCAAGCGGCTAGACAGACTCCCGGTAGCCTCGCGTCCGAGGAGCAATTTGTGTTCGGGATTGTGGAGGCTCGCGGACGAGGTCCCGAATCGGAGTGGCATTTTTCTGACGTTTTCAGTTTGCGTCTCACCGGGGCCATTTCTCTCTTTTTCGTGCTTTGGGCCTCGTCGGCTTTCGTTCGGAGCCTTTTCGGGGCCTTCGGGCCGGCTGGTCGCCTGGGGGGCCAAGTCGATACTTTGTTGCAGTGCCCCGAGCACTAAAGACGGTTTCAAACGCGGTAAAAAAAAGGCAACTTCAAAAGATCGATTAGACTTACCGAAGCAAACTGCGATGAGGATTAATCTGCTCTGCAAACTGAAATGTGTGCATGGCACGCTCTATTTGGAGCATGCCATGAAGCACGCTTTAATTTGGAGCGTGCTTGGCAGGCACGCTTTAAATTAGAGTGTGCTTACCAGGCACGCTCTAAACTAAAGCGTGCCTGCCAGGCACGCTCTATTTTAAAGCGTGCTTAGCAAGCTCACTCCAAACTACAGCGAGGGCGGCAACCACAATCCTGAATGCTCGTAATGGCTTTAACTTTTTAATATTTACTAAATATGTACTAATGCAAGGTTTCCATTTTATACTTTAAAGAAGCAAGCATTTCAAGTCTAGTGCTCAGATGTATTTTACGTCAACAAAGCTTCTCCGCTATTTTTACAACTATTGATGTATAAAATGGCACCGGTGCGTGTTAGACCTGGGAGGTTTCTTAACCATGGACGAATCAATTAAAACATTTCTCATCCAGAAAGACACATACAGTGTATGTTCGACATGACACTAGTTACTCACTCTTTTGACTGCCCAACAATCCATAGCAAAGTCACCTAGCCCTGTTGCTGGGTGGTGAAGGTTGAGGCTGCAGTCACTCGGAAGGAAGACATACTCGGGGTAAACGAGCTCCATACGTTTATCTAGCCCTTCCAGTCTCATCGTTTTCAATAACTGCGTGCCATAACACAACGCCACCACAAATCGCCAGCACAACGAAACAAATTTCACATTTCAGGCGTCACAGCTGCCATTTTGAATTTGAAACACAACACAACGCGTCTGTGCAGTCGGGAGTTTTTCATAAGCACTCGTATGAGAAATTGCTGCAACACGTATGCGCCAGACGGCTCGCAAACTGAACTCTAATTTTCGGTCTTTTTATAAAGAAACATTCCCGACACAGGTACACGAAGTAGAATAAAATTCGATTATGATTTTTGCCACTCAATACCTTTCAATTAAGAAATCCACACCCATCGTTTTTGAAATCATGTGTAGGTTGGCACCTCGGAAAAACAAGTGCTTCCCAAGCAGACGACAAGTGCGCTATCAAAAGTCCAAAATTCAAAATGGCAACCTTGACGCCAAAAGTGTAGTTTGTTTTCGTTGTTCTGAAGATTTGTGGTGGCGTTGTGTTATGGCACGCAGTTATTGAAAACGATGAGACTGGAAGGGCTAGATAAACGTATGGAGCTCGTTTACCCCGAGTATGTCTTCCTTCCGAGTGACTGCAGCCTCAACCTTCACCACCCAGCAACAGGGCTAGGTGACTTTGCTATGGATTGTTGGGCAGTCAAAAGAGTGAGTAACTAGTGTCATGTCGAACATACACTGTATGTGTCTTTCTGGATGAGAAATGTTTTAATTGATTCGTCCATGGTTAAGAAACCTCCCAGGTCTAACACGCACCGGTGCCATTTTATACATCAATAGTTGTAAAAATAGCGGAGAAGCTTTGTTGACGTAAAATACATCTGAGCACTAGACTTGAAATGCTTGCTTCTTTAAAGTATAAAATGGAAACCTTGCATTAGTACATATTTAGTAAATATTAAAAAGTTAAAGCCATTACGAGCATTCAGGATTGTGGTTGCCGTCCTCGCTGTAGTTTGGAGTGAGCTTGCTAAGCACGCTTTAAAATAGAGCGTGCCTGGCAGGCACGCTTTAGTTTAGAGCGTGCCTGGTAAGCACACTCTAATTTAAAGCGTGCCTGCCAAGCACGCTCCAAATTAAAGCGTGCTTCATGGCATGCTCCAAATAGAGCGTGCCATGCACACATTTCAGTTTGCAGAGTGAATATCGAAATCACTTGGAGCGGCACGTTAAGGTCAGGTGCTCCCGACCGTGAGGTCGTATGCCCCCTGTGGCTGTGTGTGTGCGTGTCTGCGCGCGTGTGTGCGTGCGTTTGCGTGCGTGTCCGTGATGAGGGCGGGGCGGCGGGGCGGGAAGCGCAGCTTTTGGCCGACTCGTCAGTCGTAATTTTCAATTTGCTCGATCCCAGCCGGCACGCCGGCGTGGTCGGCACCCGGCCCGCTGTGACGGTCATCATATCATTACAGGTGGCTCGGGGAACAGCCTGAAGGAGCCTGGAGAGGAACCTAACCTCTGGAACCTCTGGAACTTCGGTTTCCACCAACTCGAGACGCGTTATGAGCTCTAGATTCGCTAAATCGGACACGAAACAAACGCGTTTAGAATTTTGGCCGCCTCCATCGGTCTTCTGGCCCACTGTGCGTGGAGACTGACTGACGTGTGTTGTTCCAGACGATCCAGATCCGCAGCAACTACCAGAACGGCTCCACGGGGCAGCTGTCCGCCGCCACGGTGCTCATGCTGCTGGCCGGCTCGCTGGCGCGCATCTTCACCTCGCAGAAGGAGACGGGCGACGCGCTGCTCGTGTTCACCTACATGGTGGCCGCCACGCTCAACGCCATCACCGCAGCGCAGCTCTTCTACTACTGGAACGCCGACAAGGACAAGAAGAAGAAGGTCAAGAAGAACTAAGCGTGAACAGTGATGACGAAGAGTCGATGAATTTGCTGGGTTTGCAAGACCCAGGTGTGATGTGTAAGCAATAGGTTTCTTTTAGGTTTTGATTAGTCTCCGTCGTACTAACTTCCAGACTGTTCTAGCTGCCCCTCGACGGCTGGCCTTGCTGGGCTGCTACTCAAGCCGTTCGCTTAGTGTCTATGGACGCGGCAACCCCCGCCCCATCCCTCGCTTTCGGCGGCAGGAAATAAGCCGGGAGTGGCGCTCGGAGTTTGTACAAAACGGGCCGAAGCTCTCAGTAGCTTTGAGATTAACAAGTTTGGGCGGAAGGACCTCTCTGGCGTTATTTCCTTTTCGCCGTGAGTGCCTTCGGGAAGCGCGCCGGCCACTTCCATGCCAACAGTCGAGGGAGTTGGAGGGCGCCGTCGCTCAGAGTAGTTCGAGTCGAAACGATATTTATTAGCCGATCGCTGTATAGTAATATTCATAGGATGGACTTCTCTCTCTATGTAATATACCTGTGTCCACATTCCCCTGGATGAATTTTTAGCCTAGTGATGATTTTTACTTTAATGATATTCTGGTCTTCCGTCAAAGTGAAGTCTGTCGATCTCTAAAATGTTTAGTGAGGCTTTTTAGGCAGCGGCATGTACTGTATATTATAACGAATAGTACCATTGTTATTATATGAGAATGTGTTCTGTGATAATCCGACATATTTTGCCGACTGAAGGTGCGATCGTCTGCCTGACTCGGAGATAGTATAGGAGCCGCGAGGAGATGAAACAGAAAAAAAGAATAAAACCCACCTTTTCTAAAACAAACTCTCTGAAATGTAACCAAAAAGGAGCCTGTTCACCTACGAAAACCCCGCGCGCTTCCTCACAGTGCCTCTCTGTTCACCGCGACCACCAGTGAATTGACGACGAGATGGAAACCTCCACAGGAGGAAATGAAAAAGGACGATATCATCGAGGGGAGTGTGTGGCTGGAGGAACTCGGCCGGCATGGACGCGGTGCGGAATCAGGAATCGCCCCCCGCGACATGACATCCTCTAGGCCGTGCCCGCCTTGCGTCCCGTCCCGCCTCATGAATGCATAACAGAAGTAAGTGCTGCAATATGGCGCCCACCCCCGGGCGGCCCGGACCACTCGAGCAATAAAAAACGGGAAAAAACCGTGATGGCCTCAATCGCGGGCAACGTATAAGGCGATTAATCAATCACAGACCCCAATCTCTTTGCCCGCGCATCCCCCACCACCGACAAATCTCTTTCTTAATCCGAGTCCCCACTCTCTCCCTCTCTGTCGCGCTAAATCTTTTTCCTCCCCCGCCCCGTTTTCTATCTCTCTCGTACTCTCTCCTGTCCGATCATCGCCGTGTTTTTTTGCCTCTATACTTGCTCGCGGTGCGAGTTCCTGTTTTATGGGGATCTCTTTCCCCTCAAGTGGGATTCGATGTCGGGGGTTCTTAGGTCCAAAGTGGCGGCCAAGTTACAGCGAGGGAATGGTCGGATTGGCCGGTCAAATCATTGTGTACGTCCGTGGAATCCCTCAACACTCCAGCCAGTCTAAATTGCGTGCCCCGCATCTACTGCCTACTCACGTGCCACCTAACCTCAAAATGTGGAGTGCCCCGTCCAGGTGCACTCGGCGGGAAAGCTCACCGGCCTTCCAGGGGCTTTCGCCGGGCTCTCGCCGGGCTTTCGGCTTTATGGGGATGATCCAATCCAATCGGGCCGCGGAGACACCAGCGACTGGCTGCAGACAATGTGGGCACACTCCGCACTGCTCCGCACATCCTTGATGAGGGCGGTCCTTTCGCTTCGAGGAATCGGAGCCGTGATTACGGCGGTATCGATATATCGATATGGCTCTGTCGAAACGAAACGCGTGTCTCGTCACTCTGTTTGGCCCGACTTTCGTTCACGTTTTCTTCGATCCAAGTGAGTAAAAAATATAGCAAAACCTGCGCATGCCAAAAATAGTGGTTTTTTTTCTTTCTTTGATCTTTTTTTTTCTCGACGAAATCGCGTGGCCTTTTGTATTTTTTTTTTGTTCTTCTCAGATTCGGTCCCGTAATGGCTTCTGTCCCGGCCGGCGAGCGCGACGCGAAATTTTTAATCATCAGAGACGCTAGCTAGTCACTCAGGCGGAAAAGGGAGTTTTTGTTTCAATACATTTTTTTGTGTCTGCGTCGAATCCTTAGAGAGGAAAGTAGGGCTTTTCTTCCCAGGGACTTTTTCACATTTAAAAGTTGGCGATGTTGTGGGGCCGTGGGGTGTGGACGAAGGGAGTCCGAGAGGGAAGGCGGAGGTAGCCACGCGAGGCCTCCGTTGCCTTTAACGCCGAACCAGTTAAATATTCAACTTGACGCGCTTCGGGCGATTCCTTCCGGCCAGGCCAGGCGGGGCCAGGCCGACGCGACGTCGGGCAAGGCAAAACCAGGCGAAGCCCAAAGCTCGAGGCCACCAGGGCGCAGCGTCGCGCAGCGTCGCGCAGCGCACCTCACTCAACACATCCCTTTCTTTTGGGGGGCACAACTTTATTATTTTCCCGTGGCAGTAATGAATTACTGTGATTAATCAGAAAAGTTTGTAATTAGAAAGTTTTCTTTGCACAATTAAAATGGCAAGCAGGGACAGCATTGGGGGCGGGGGCGGGGTGTGGCGGGACACGCCCCGTCCCGGCGACTCCGCCACGGCGCCCCCGCCAGCCCCGCCGGCCCCGCCCACTGGCACAGGCCAGGGCCCCGGCGGCCCCAGAGAGCCGCGGAACCCTCCTTCCGATAATTTCATTAATTAAGGGTCTCAGAGTGCAGAGTGCTGTATGAAGTTTTTGGCAGCGATTTGGAGCGTGACGGAAGGGAAGGGCTATGGCTGCGGCGTGGCGCGGCCTGCAGGCATCCTGCTTGCCCCGCCCCGCCCTCACTGTCAAAATCAAGCCGACAACATGAGAAATATTGCGGACAGAAGTCGGGTAAAAACAGATTTTCATGTTTTCGCGTTCAAACACTTAAAAATTTCAAATTTTTTATTTTTCTTAATTTATTTATTTTGCGGAAAAGCCTCGTAGGTTCTGAACTAGCTTGAGTTTCTGCAAAAATACGAAATTTAATTGAATGACGTGAACTTTTTGTTTGGCGCGACAAATTTTTATCAGTCGTTCTTCTTTCTGTGAGACCCTCCGAAGAGCATGCGTGTTTTCCTCCCTTACGAAGCCGAGGCACACAAAAATAAAATACCGGAGGTACAAATAAAACGGGGTAAAGAGAAAAGGCGCGGAGCGCGCTGGGGGGCTGTTTTCGGGCGGTGGCCTTCTTCGCTCCGACTCTCTCGCACCCGAGTGGACACGCCGTGCGCGCGAGAGAGACGAAGGCATCCCTCGGAGTCCTGAGATTTTTCTCCCCGTGTCACGTCCGCCGCAAAGTGCCCCTTCCCTTCCCTGGGCGTCGCATCGCGTCGTCTGCTGCCCCATTCGACCGCCTCACTCGGCTGCCCCATTCGACTGCCGCCACCTGGCGGGCTCTTGGCGCGATATTCCGACCACGTGTGGCTCAGCAAATTGGGCACAACTGAGGGCGGGATGGGAGAGAGGCCTGCACCGGAGCAGCGCGAGCAGGAGGAGATTCTTTCCAAATCTTGTTTTCGTTTTCAGGATGTCTCGAGGCAGTTTGCACGGCTGCATTTCAACTGTTCTTTTTTTTCGCCCTGCACTCTAGGTGCTGAAAAGCCGCGTTCTACGCGAGGAATCGCGGAGGAGTCCATGAAGAATGACTGGCGGTCGGTCGGTGCGTCTCGGATTAGGGTTGTTGCGGCTTGCTGCCGCGCGTCGGAGGCTGGGGTGAGAGGGTGTGTTTTTAAGAGAGGGTGGGGGAAGAGGGGGCGCCACCCACGGCGTCACAGCTCACTGAATTCCAACCCTTTATTGCCGCAGCGTGCGAAACGCTCCACAAATCCACACTTCCTGACAGCCTTATGACGCGGTGTGTGTGTGTGTGCGCGTAGTGGAAGCCCTGCGGCCCGGATAGGCTCCCGTCAATGAAGTCACCCCCACCGTACACTCGCCGTTAAAAAAAGGAGGGAAGGGGGCACAGTTCACGGTGTTCAGTCGATTCCTCATGATTGAGGATCGTTTTCGCATATCCGAAAAACAATAAAAGCGAAGTCATTTATTCTCTAGTTTGTCGCAGGGGGCTTCATGAATGGGAAGAGAGGAAAGGGTATAGGGGAGGGGGAAGGAAGGATGAGTGTGAAAAGTTGGCACTGGCCCTGCGAGCCAGTCCTGCAAATGACCACTTCATAGCCAATGCGTTACAGGCGCACTCGCACACTCTAACACACACGCACACACACTCACAGACCTCCGTCGTCTCAAGAACCAAGGACGCACCTCCTCCGAGTGCTTCTGTGTGGTGGCGCGCGGGCAAGTCACGGCGCGGCGTGGCGCAGCGTGGCGCGGCACACGAGTACTTTATTTTTACTGCCCCGTCCGTAATCGTCCAGCGGACAGGATGGGACTCCAGACCCACACACGCACACACACACACACCGATCGAGTGCCTCTACCGCGGCGGCTGAACCCGCGGCGGGGTGTCGCAGTGTTATGGGCCCCGCGTACCGCGCGCTCCTGTCCTCCCCCCCCCCTTTCCCTCCTCCCCTCACTCCCTCCCCCTCCCCCTACTCCCCGGATTCTGTCCGTGGCGCGCCGGACACGTCACACGAGACCAAATGTCACCATTCTTTTCTCACGGCCTTGTGTGTTGCGGGACTGCCTACCCTCCGCAGCACGGGCGCGCTGTCTACTACTTCTTCTTCCTTTTTTTGTAGTGGAAAAGAAACAAGAGCAACAAGGAGTTTTTTGTGTTTTTTTTTGGTTCGACGTTGCAGCAAGTGCAGCATCATCACCTTTCCTCTCGCCTCATTAGCGCGTGCCGTATCCTTTCTCTCTCCCCCCCCCTCTCCACTCGACCTGGAGAATCCAGCGAGGCTGACTACTACTCTGCTCGGACGCCAAGCCGAGCAAACGCGCGTAGTTCCGTCTCAAAACTTCACTAACATTCAACAGGAATTTTCTCTGCTTTTTTTCTTCCCCTTTTTTACAAATGCCTTTCCCCGTTTTGCGTTTGGGCACATTTGCATACGCAGCAACAGGCGTGATGCTTCTAGCGGGCTTCCAGTGTGCTACAGCCCCTCCAGCACCCCTCCGGAAGGACAGCATCGCACTGCAGGCTGCGCGGAGGCCCAGGTCCTGGGTTCGAATACCGAGCTTGCATATATTTGCCAAAAACTTTGCTTAGCAATGAAGGTACTTACCCGTTGGCTAGAAGAGTCCTAGAGTGGGTAGGTTAGGCATTAGGACTCTAGGCATTCGTAGTTTCATCCTCATCTCTCTCCTCTCTCTCCCTCTCTCTCTCTGGCCACCCTCGAGCCACAAAGTGAAGGCCCTACCTAGGACAGGGCCTCCTCCTAGTGAAAGGAGACGCGCGAGAAAAAAAAATACGTGGGTGGGGCTTTACGTACTCTCTCTCTCTCTCTCTCTCTCTCTCTCTCTCTCTCTCTCTCTCTCTCTCTCTCTCTCTCCCTGCCCGGAAGCCTGAAACAAATGAGCGGCCATATATTGCACGGCGCGTTCTCTCTCGCACGGCGACTTGCGCTTGGTTTATGGTGGCGTTTATGCAGCCATTTTATATCTCAACCGCTCTGCTTCGTGACATTCTGGGTTCTGTCGCGCTTTTTTTAGGGCGATCTCCCTGTCCGGCGAGTGTCACACCGCTCCATGCAGTGCCTCAGATTCCGAGAGTAGTTTTCGTCGCCCTGTCTCT